AAAGAAACAGCTTTTGGTACAGAACCAGGGGTAGAAGGCATGATGTCCTCATGTAAACAGCTGTTTAAGTGTATCAAGCAATAAGGTGGCGTTCAGGGTTTACCTAGGTGTTTACTGGTGAGGACCACTGGGGACCTGTGATGGGAGCAGTGCTGCTCACTGGAAGCTAAATGAAAGGGAGTAAAGATTGGTTTGCACAATTAGAGTGGGCATGGGCTGATTGCAGAAATTTTCAGAAGGATCTCATGATGCTGAATGACTCTGAGGCAGATTGCAGTCGAAATGTGAGATTGGTGAAGGCAACATAATGCATGTGCAGGATTAAAAATCTATCAAGTTTTGACCTCATATTATCAATTAAGACTCAAGAAAGAGATCTTTGGATAATTAAAGAGAACAATGCAGAAAGTGTGATGACTCCACCACTTGGGTGCTGCCAGATGTTGGATTTTTTTTCTAGTTCTGGCAATTGTACATCAAAGACTCCCATAACTGAGCTACAGATTGATAAAGATAGAACAGATTCAGGATCAGAAGTCCAAGTAGTCTAGGGTGCTTCCACTTGGGGTTGTGGTGATTTAAGGGGTATATCAACAGATTCATAAAATCACAGAAGGTGTAGAGAGGCAAGTGATTACTTGCTGTTACTTACAATAGGATACAGAAATTGAATTATCAGACAGGATTTTAAAAACAGACAGAAGGAAGTACTTTACATTGCCCATAATTAAATTGTGGAGCTTATTACATAGCCTGCTGTAGAGACCAAGACTATAAATGGATTCGGGGAAGGACCAACACATTCCTAGAGTAAAAAGCCATTACAGGCTATTAAGTGCAAAGGTCTGGAAGCAGCCTCCAGCTCAGGAAGTCCTTAAACTACTGATTACTGGAAACTGTGACTGGAGCATATCAGGGGAAGGATCACCCAATTTGTGCCAATGCTTCTCTAAACACCTGCTACTGGCTGCTGTCAGGAATGGGTTGGTGCACCAGACAGATTATTTAATTTGGCTGAAGTTGGCTCCTTTCACAGCAAATGCAAAAAATCTGGGAATCGATGTTGCAGTGAAATAACCACTGCCCAGTAGTCAGCTAAAAATGAAGAAAATACGTGCCCAGAAGGCAAGCTGGGAACAATGGGTTTCAGGATCCTGGTGCAGTCAGCAGAGATGCATGGGGAAAACTTAAATAATGCCACAGATTAGCCAGTACATTTTGTTTATAACATTTATAAGCACCAATTTCAGGAGTGAAAGCCACCTCCAAATAAACACAGGAACATATAATTTGTTCATACAGCATACAGGTGCTGTCTGGCCTTGTACAGGGCTTTTAGAGCTATAGTTGGCAAAGCTGAAGGTTGGCAGGTGTACAGTTTACCCACATTGAATATTCAAAGAAATTCAGGGCTATTGTAACTTCAACATGATTATACAAATGATTGTCCCTTTCTCTGTGAATATCTAGGTAAAAACATCTTTCCTGGCAGGTGTCCTAGCCATAGGATCTGTGGGAACCAGTTTCTCTGCATTTTTATATTCTTTCAACTTTGCAGCTGAGAGACTACCCAAATGGTAATGCTCATGTACAAAGGAGGATGATAACCCCAGCCTTAGAAAGGTAGTAACTCCAACACCAATGACAACTAAATTGACAGTCAAAGCTGTTAACCACATGCAATAGTGACTTACTTTTTCTAGTCCAAATAGATTTTTTCCTAGCACTTAAATAAGTTACACTTAAATAAGTAAGTTGTGTGCTATTGACTAATTGTGCTCTTTGAAGGTTCAGGTAAAATTGTTCAGCCTAAGGAACTCATTGGAGGAATATTTATATGCCTTCAGTGGAGGAAAATGCTCAATAAAGCCAAAGGCTGGGATATAAGCTCAAATCTCCCCTGATCAAATATGTATCCTTTGATCTAATAAGTAGGTTGAGTCTCGCTTGACTTTCCAGCAAAATGCAAATGTAATGCTTTTAAAAAATAAAAAAAGTCAGTGTACTTGAATGTCTGATTGCTTTTGGTTTTCAAGATAGTTAAAGAATTTCCTCAGTGGTATCAACTATGGAATTAGTATCAGATATTTTTGTTAGTTGTGTATTTAGTGACATAGGCATTTATGTGTACCCATGCCTGCTCTCAATGGTGGTGTATTAGCTAAGTCAATAATAAGATCTACTACAAATAACTGATTTCTGGATGTGAAAATGTAGTTATCCCAAGTACAGCTCATTATTTATTATGAAATATTTCCTAGCTGTTGGTTACTACATCAGCGACTGGTTTGCCCATTTTAGCAAAGTTGTGCTCTTCATAGTCTGAAGAATGCAATATATGAGGAGGCCACAGATTCACTTTTTCTGTCTGTCTCTTATCAGGGAACAGTGATTACTTCTATGGGAAAGGCTGACTGTCAAGCCTATGTTTTCATTCATGCACTCAGCCCAGTGGAGATGAAATTTCTGGGAAAGATAACTAAAAGCCAATTGTGTTACCTTGGCATTGGAAAAGTGCCAGGTGGTGTAATTTGTCAGAGTAATATGAGATATGTTCACCTGGATACTCAGCATCTGCTCTGCTATCAGATTCATGCTATCTTCCCTTTCCCCCCTTTTTCCTGTCTCTTGTCTGTCTACATTTATTAGAAGGCCATGTGCTTGCTCTTTAGCTTGCCCTCCTTTTTTCATGGAAAGGCTTCTGCAGTGCATACAGTGTGCTTTGACACTTTGTCTCTCTTCGGTCTGAGAGAAAATTCTGAAAAAAACCTGCAAAAGTAGACATTTTTTATCTTGTTCCTGGGCTTAAGGGTCACTTCTAGCTGGCTCATGCAAGTGTGCAATCCCTGAGATAATTTTAAGGCTTTTATGTTAAAACATATCAGGAGAAAAAAAAAAGGTGTTATTGTCATGCCTGTGTTTTGTGTATGTATACTTTCCAGACAAACACTAAACCCAGCTTGGCATGCAGAGGAAGGGCAGGCTGTTGGCACAAAACTATGCCAGGTCTCCTCCAAAAAGGCTCATCAGCCTCAGCTTCCTCTTAAAGAAATGTGGGCCAAGTCTCAGGTTCTCCTGTGGGAGGCTCGCACATCTCTAATTCTGACTTGAAATAGTATCTGAGGCTCGGTGCTGAGATGTCTGCAAGCACTCATTACACATATTTACCTTCCTCTGTTGTGAGGACAGGCCTAAGTAGGTTTGCTTTACCCCTGTCAGTGATGCAGAGTGGAAAAACTGATACTGCCCTGTTTCCACCCAAATAAACCAAGATGTTATGAACCACCAATAGACACAAGAATGTTCTCCTGTGTTTAGGGAGCCTGAATAACTACATTGATACTGAAAACAGCATGGAAAGAAACTGCCAAATATTGGGAAGTTTTCTTGAAAAATATATTTGAAAAATATTTCTTTAGTTTCTGGTAGCTTATTTCTCTAAGGCTTTAATCCAGTTATTGAGATGTGTAGCTTATGTTGTGCTTATGTATTTGCCATAAAATCTTTCTTGCTAAATTGTTCCCTCCTGATATATTGCCAGATGGTAAAAGTATTTTTCTTGGGCTTCTTCCCCTTTTTTATCAAATGCAAAATATTTTGAAAAAAACCCCCTTTAATGTCAAAGTCTTGCCCACGTTAAGTAGAAAGAGGATATTGGATAATCAGAGACTGATCTTAATGTTGAGTTGTTCATGCTGCTCACAAGAGAAGGGGTTTAAGAGATTCTGCTTTGGTTTCCTTGATTTTTCCAGCCATGCACTGTGAGCAGCGAGCCCTCCAAGCTCCTTTACTGCAGATATATATTGCACTGTATATTTTCAGGACAATGAAAAGATTTATTTAGCATATGGCTGACCTGGATTGTCTCCACTGGCTCAATTGACCTTTATTGCCTTGGGACAGTGGTAAGATTAGGAGGTGCTATAAATAGCTGCAGCACTGTGGGAGCGGTATCACAAAAATGCACTTTACACAAAAGCCTGTCATTTCACTTTGTGGGGGATGTGTGTGTTTGGCTTACAAAGGAAGATATCTCTCTGAGGTGATATTTGTCCTCTTCTGAATCACTGCAGCTGAAGCTGTGAGATTATTTTGGCCACTACCATCAGGTTCTAATTCATACAATGCAGTAGTGTTGGGGAGCAGTAGGAAATAGACTGTTCAGGTGCAGCTGAGCTTTGTATTGGCAGCATTCTATGCTTCCACCTGATGAAGGCTCACTGGTGGAGGCAGCTCTGTCAGGGCTGGGTGTCTGAAGGGAGACAGGCAGGGGGGATGTCCCTTCAGCAGCGTGGAGCGATCTTCAGGAGTGTTTCTGGCCACCACTTATGACTTCTGAGGAAGGTTACATCTATGCCTCAAGAGCTGTAAAAATCATTTTGGACCAGAAAGATAGAACTGAAATAGAAATATAAGTGGGAAGAAGTTGTAATTCTTTGAGGGGTTGTGATATGATCCAAGAAGGTAGCAGTTTATGGCTTCCCTTTCTGGTGGTGTCCCCATGTCTTGTTTTCCATAGTTGGATGCTGAATGGATGACTTTTTCCAGCCTATAAGCTAAGTAAAAGCAAAAAGGGTTTGATTCTTTGTATAAGCTCATATTTTGTGTCTCTTATGAATGGTATTTGGAATTATGCATAAATTGATTTGACAGATTTAGTTGGTGTGTAAGGAATAGGTGAAATGCATAAGGACTCCACTAACACTGGCAAACATAACCACAGATAGTCCACTGGATTTGATATTTGAGCTTAGTGCCAGCTGAGTAACTGATCTCCATTAAACAGTAATTTCCAGTGATCAGGTTGCTTTATTCTTTTCCTAAACTGCTTTAGCAGGAGATGGCATTCAAGCACCATTTCACTGAAGCTGAAATGAAATGCGTTGCTGCCTCTTCTGATTTCTGGAGGAGGCTGGGGAGGATGTTGGGTAGTTATGTTGGATAGATATATTTGTTATAGATACACTCAATTTATTTGTCTTTTTCTTTTCAATTTTCAGGAAAGCAATCTCCAGGTCAGGCCTCCAGCACTTGGCTCCTGTGCATACCCTCAACATTCCAGTCACCAATGGACCTGTGAAGGAACCAAGAGCAGCCTTAGAGTGGACTGTAGGTGTTTGGTTTTTTGGCAGTTAATTTGAGCAGTATCTGTAGTTGTTGCTCTCTCCATCCTTAAATCAAAATAAGACATCCTGTTGCTATCAGAATTAGTGCTAGTTATTAGGAATATGCTTTTATTATGAGTTGAAGCATGAGGCAGAGACAGGAAAACTTGTGGGGACTTGAGCAAAAAAGGACAGATTTTCCAGCTTGGAAGGGTTTTGTGCCTCTGTTTGATGGGCCAAAATTTAAGGCTGAAGACACACATCATGTTGTCTGCATCTGCAGAGTAGGTAATTGTAATCTTTGGTTGCAGCTCCTTGTAGGTATTATTAGATTTCTTCTGGGGCCAAGCTAGTGTGTAGACATGGAGACAATGTTTCCATCCCTCTTGTGTTTCTGGGCTGAACCACTCTAGGGCTGGCCAAAAGTTAAAGCAGGTTGTTAAAGGCATTGTCCAAATCTCTTTTAAAGTGGCAAGCATGGGGTATCAACCACCTCTCTAGGAAGACTGTTCCAGGGTTTGGCCACCCTCTCTGTGTTTGCTAGTGCAAGTCTGTACCTCCCCTGAACCATCCCCACACACCTTCCATGTGGTTATGCACTGGTAAGAGCTAAAAAGATGAGCATAAGCCAGCAGGTCACAAAATGTCTCAATTAAAGCAAAACATACAGAAGATTTTTACACTTGGCTATTGGTAAAGAGGTAGATACATTGCATTATCAAGGCACCAGCCACCCAAGCAGCTTTTAGTTGAAGATAACTTCTGTTCTGATGAATATGGCTTATGTTTATCTTTGCTCCCTATATAAAAACAGAATTGATTTCTAGATTGCCTGCTGTTCTTGAACTCCAGGAATTGCACTCAGAGTTTAAAGGGATGAAGTTTTGCAGGCTGAGTTGCAGGAAGCTGGATTATATTCACTATGAGGGTCTGCAATTTGAAAGCTTGCATAGAATTCTCTTGGAAGTGCTTTGGAGAATACCTTGTTCCTTCATTCCAGCAAACCCAGGTGCTGATTCAGCAAGGCAGTAAAAATGCCTGTTGTGAATCATCACTGCTGTTCAGTAGAAATCTGAAAGATCACTCACATAAGTGAAGGGTTAAGCACATCAGCTAAATTAAACACTTTTGAAAACTGTACTTAGAAAAAAACAACAATCCCTGCCAAAAAAACCTCTCTGAACCCCAAGTCCAACAAGCACAGCTTGCCCTTCCTCAGTCAATTGTCTGCTACTCCTTTACCAGGGTGATCCATTACTCCTTTTACCTCATGTGATCCCTATACATAAGTACATCAGGAGTTGCTATAAGTTGGTGAACATGGCTTAAATATTTTGGGGTTTGATTGTGTGTGGTTTTTTTGTAGTTTACTTCCATGGTTGTGGTTTAGATTTTTGGTCAGTTCAATTTCTTAGCTGTTTGCAGCCTCTCAGACTGTTATTGCTGCTTTACTTCACACTTTGATTGGAGAAGGGAGGAAACTGTGTCATGTGGGGAGAGGGACATGACAGTGAGTGGGAGGCATCTGTGGTTGGGAGGAGACTGAACTAACCACCCGTAGTAACTGGTAAAAGGGAAAAAGGTATTTCTCAAATCTGAGGTATGATGGAAGTAAGGTTGGGACATATGGGGGAGGTTGAAGTGGACCAAAGGTTTTGAATATGTCGTGAATTTCAACAAAGAAAAAACCCTAAGTTTTAATTTAAGTTCAGAGGTATATTTGGTAGAGTAAAAAGATATTTCAGTTGATGTGTCAAAGCCAGACAAGAAATTTTTGTATTTAATCCCTGGAAGGCAGCATTGATCAGTGTGTGTTGTATCCTCATATACATCATCCTCCTTTTCAGTATTTCTGTGGATGATTCTCCAAGGACACATGATGGGTGATCTTTCCAAAGTCTCAGTGACATGAGAATAAATTGTCTCTTGACTTAGAAGGGAGGAAATATTTTCTACCACAGTCTTCACAGTAATAACTGGAAAGAATTCCCTGGCCATTGCCTCCATTTTTGAGAACTCCTTTCAGGTGATTTGCCCTTATCAGCTGGACCTGTGAACAGGGCACTGAGTCAAAGAGTGGGATTCCATTCTCTGCTCTGTCACTTACCTCGTGAGCGAGCTCAGAGGAGTTGTTTTTCCTCTCAGTACAACAGCCTCTCTACTGTAAAACAGAAGTGATGATTCTCATGTCCCCTAAGACTTTTTGCACTAAACTCCCCAGAATTCTTTACTATTGTAGTTGCTACTGTCTCTGTTCCCTGAGGTTTCTTTTCCCTAAAATACTTTAAAATGTCCAGTTTCATCACATTTCTTACACTTAATTCAAGTTAACTTGTAGCTTTGCTGTATAATTTAAGGTTCTCTTTTCACACCAGGGCCATACAGAATACAGTGTGTGGAGTAGGTGTTATAATAACCAGAAGGGAGTGCCTGGGAATGTCTTGCAAAAAGGAATTGACCTAAATGGCTGCCCCTGGGATATGTTTATGCCTATCCCTTTCTCCCACACACCTTCATTTCAGACATCACTCCCAAGTGTTAAATAATAAAGCAGGTAATTCTAGCCCAGATTCTCAAGTGAGTACACACTGAGCCACCCAATACACTGCCTGTGTACCTTTGAGGATCCAGGTCTTTGTGTATTTTTCTGTTGCCCTTTTCTACCAAGGATTATAACCATAAGCTTGTACACAAAGTCTTCCTGTAATTTTCTTTTAACTACTGCCTTCTAGCTCTTGCTTTCCATAGTGCCTACGGAACTATTGACAGCCACTATAATAGTGGAGTGTTGAACATCTCCAAATCTTCCTTTTTTTCATAGTGGATTTTTTCTGTTAATGCTCATTTCTTCCCTTCTCCCATGACAGCAAGACTCAGAATCTTTCCCCCACTTCTTAAGAGGCATTTGAAAGTATTCAGTTTTCATTATTGGAGATCAATGAAAAATCTTGACTGATCTCTGCTTTATGCTCTGTGAATGCACAATTGGAGTCCTCTAGGTACAAGTTGAATGTTTCCACAGGAGAAATATTACAATTTATACTATAAATCATGTGTATAAAAGACAAAGCCAGAAATCTTTTAGGTCTTAACAAGAACAGAAAACTGTGTGTCGTAGTAGAAGCTGAAAAATGGCATTTGGCAATATGTGGAAGAAGGCTTACGTCAGGAGGGTTGTACAAGGCACTACCTGATTTCACATGGATGGAGTAAGGAAAGCCAGATCTCATCTAGTGTAGAATCTTAGAGGAACATGAAAGGTAACAGGAGTGGTTTCTGTAGGCAAATCAACAGTGATAGGAAGAGAAGGAAAAATGTTGGGCTGCCACTGAATAGGGCAGAGAACATGGTGACAAAGGACATGGAAAACCTGAATTGTTCAGTCCCTTCTTTATTTTTACCTCCATTGTTGCTGGTAAGAGCTGCCTTCAGCAGTCCCAGGTCACTGATAGCAGGGTCTGAAAGAAGGAAAATCTACTTTTGTGGAGGGTGATCAGGTTAGGGAATACTTAGACTGAACACAAAAATCTGTGGGACCTGATGAGTTGCACATAAAGGTGCTGAGGGAGCTGGCTGATATCACTGCTAGGACAGTCTGGTGTCTTTGAATGGTCATGATGGTCAGAGAATGTTCCTGAGGACTGCAATGAACAAATGTCCATTCTGCCTGCAAGAAGGATTACGAGTATCCAGGGAATGCCTGGCTAATCAGTCTTACCCTGATTTCTGTGAAGGTTATAGAGCAAATCCTTCTGGAAGTAATTTCCAAAAATATTAAGAATAAGAAGTGACTGAGAGTATTCAGCATTGATTTATGGAGGGGAGATCGTGCCTGACCAGCCTAACAGATTAAATGACTGGCTTGGTAGATGAGGGGAGACTATTGTGTTGACTTCTGCAAGGCTTTTGACACCACCTTCCGTAACATCCTTGTAGATATACTGACTGGGGTATGGCTAGACAAGTAGACATGAAGTGACCTATATAAGTGAGGTATTTAAAATTAGTGAATGTGACTTTTAAAGGAGTCTGCATTATATTCTGTGCCTTTTTGACACTAGTCATTAGTTCTGTCTGCTTACTTTCATGGCAGTAAGTGTTTGGAAGTGCCTAATGATGTATTAAAGCTTGGATGATTAGTCTATGTGTTAATACAGTAGCACATATTTTACATATGATGAAACATTTCCCTCATTCTAGATAAATTTATTTCTTTTCCCCATTAATGGTTTGGCTTCTGCATCATAACTTCCTAAAAGCTATGCTAACTTTTACACTGAAGGGGATGGACTTCTCTTCCATTAGGGGGTCTTCAAGGCTAAGTTTTGTAACTGGCAATTAAGCATTCAGTTGAAAAGAGATGTTTATATTTATATGCTCTCATGACAAAAGGAGAATCCCAGGGTATTCCATTAGTCACATAAAAAGATGAAGAGGTGATAGGAATTCGAGTTCAAATTATGCAGTGATGAGTGGAAGCCCCATGCATATTTAAAAATTGCTGAATTTCTGTGTGCAGTTGACACTTGAAGTGCTGTGTTCTGGATCAGTAGTTCTGCTTTGCTGCTTCTTTTTCATGAAGGTTTGAGATTTTTATATTCTTTCCAGAGAGCTCTAAAGAGAAAAGAGGTCTGTCATATTTCAGGATGGTGGCCATATCTTTGTGTTTTTCCAGTGGTGTAGAGGCTGCAGTGATTTTGCAGACGGTGCCCATCTAGAAAACATGTATTTTTTTCTTGTTGCTGCAGTGCAACTGTTATCAGCCAAAGAAGTGGTTCATGAGGACATAGGGAATCATCATCTCTGTTGATAGCATCTGAACATTGCTACTCCATAAAAACAAATGTTTTCATTTTGCTTCTGTATAAAGGTGATCTCTTAGCTGGAGCTTAGGGGAGTCTCAAAAGGCAATTGATGCAGAGATGTTGGAAAGCATGGTGGGGGAAAGGAGAAACATATCCCTATGCTGTTTTATTTTGCTCTTTGTCCACATATTACACTTGCAATAATTAAGGAATAGGTGACCTCTAAATGAAAAATATTCCCAAATTAAAATGTGCTAATATGGAGTTAAAATGGAGAATATATATCAAAAGAAAAATATTTGAGGCACTGCTCCTGTTGGCGACACGAGTATTGCAAACTCTGAAATTTCAGAATTAAGGGTGAAACGCAATCCAAACATAACAGTAAGAAAGAGACATCCAAACATTTTTTTTATTTGGGAAAGAGACATCCAAACAATTTTTTTTTTGGCTCAATAGTAATTTCATAAAGAAAAGGGTCAAAATTAATAATTTTTGGTTACAAATATATTTAATTAAGTTTGGATTGATGACCACTGATTTTACACTAATCATAAGTATCACCCAAATGCATATTTGCAAGGATATTCTTCTCTCTTGCTGGAGTGTTAACAAAGGGAAATTTTTCTTACTGATTTATTTTAGAGATTTTTCTCAAATAATTTTTTGCAGAATGTCAGTCATAGCAGGAGTGGAGGAGAGTTCCATTCCTCCTGTTAGAATTGGAGTTACAGCCCTTTTGAACTAAAGATTGGGCTGACTGGTTTATTTGTTTGGCTGAATAAGTACAGCTGTTTGATGTGGCAAATTAAAACAGCCAGGTTTATCTTCATTGCTTTTGACACCATGCTGACTGCAGTCTGAAGAACAGTGAGGTGTGGAGATAGTGGTGGGTGTTAGTAAAATGGTAACTCTTGCTCTGTCATTTACTATGCTGGAGAGCTTGAAGAAATCCAGTTCAATCAGTAAATGAGCACAAGTCATGAATGCATGTATGCAATTACATGGCCCCCAAACTCCTGATCCTCGAATTCTTATTTCTCTTCCACTTCAGGGGGGATTGTGTGTGGAAGTTGTTTTGTATGCAAGGAATGTTTGCTATACTGAAATTATTTTTGTTTGCTATTGAGGTGGTAATGGATCAGGAGCAATCAAGTGGGAGGTCTCCACCTGGGAGATGGGGAGATATTGAGATGGTGTGTTCCCTGTGAGCCAGGCTGCCAGGAAAGCACTGCTGCCTCCACTTCACTGAGCAGGGGCTCTTTTTCTTCCCAGGACACTTGTGAAGGCTGAGAAGCTGGAGAGGAGAGAGAGTTCACAGTTTTCTTTATTAGGGTACAGTCATTGCTGTTTTATTCATAGTGATGGACAGTAGCCATTTTCCACATAGCAAGTCAGAGCAAAACCTGTCAGCCCAAAAATGTGATTTGATGGGTTGGCTGAGATGGCACCAAAATCATCAGTCCCACTGAAGACATCTTTAACCCACCACTCTTTGTGTCAGACCAAAAGTTATGTGGTCACAGGGTGAGTCATTTTGTCTAGCTGATTTGGTAAATAAGATATTGTATTTGCTGGGTCCCCTGTGGCAGGAAGGAATGATGGATCTGACTCCATGTTCTCAGAAGGCTAATTTATTATTTTATAATACTATATTATATTAAAGAATGCTAAACTAAACTATACTAAAGAGTACATAAAGGATACTTTCAGAAGGCTAAAAAGATAATGAAAACTTGTGACTCTCTCCAGAGTCCTGACGCAGCTTGGTCCCAGTTGGCCAATGAGTGAAAACAACTCACATCAGAAATCAATGAAAAAATCACCTGTGGATAAACAATCTCCAAACCCATTCCAAAGGAGCAAAACATAGGAGAAGCAAATCAGATAATTACTTTTTTCCTTTTTCTCTGAGGCTTCTCAGTTTCCCAGGAGAAAAATCCTGGGCAAAGGGGTTTTTCCAGAAAATGTGAATGCCACAATAAGATATCTATTTATTTTCCATTAGCTGAACTGAATTTATGTGTAGCTTTACAGGCACAGAGTCAACATGAGGAAAATGGCAAGAGAATGAAACTGGTGTCTATGTCTTCAGGGACAGAAAAAGAGCAGCTGCTTCTTTAAAATCCATTAAATACTAAAGCCAACATAAAGACATCAAGTACAAAATAAACCAAACTGGCAAACTTTTTATGGAAAAAGAAAAGGCTGTGTCAAAATATACAGGTGATAGAACCTTTACTGTGGTTAAGCTTTGTGTTAAACAGGATATCATCCTAGAGGTGATAGGAGCTTGTTCCAGGGACCTCTGTCAGCTTTTGTGTTGGTAGGTGGGGATGAGTGCCCTTTTGTCCAGCGTGTTGTGGAATATTGCCTGTAAATTTTGGAGTAGAAAATACTGTCTTGTTAAAGTCAAAATTCTTGATAAAAATGTATTGATTTTTTTTTCAAAATTTTCTATCAGAAGTGAATAAAAAATTGGCTTGCAAAAGGTCACAGGGCTTCCTTTGACTATATGATGATTTTCATAAGTGGCAAGAGAATATGTCATCATAAAAATTACAGAGCCTTGTAAAATTTAAAACAGTGAAGTTAAAATAATTCCCTTTGATCTTATTGAGAAAAACTAACTGAGAAGGAAAGATTTTTGAGGGAGGGCATTTCATCTTGGGCAGTCTCAGCTTTTTTCTCTGATTCAGGATGAAAGATTTTCCACAAGTCCATTTGCTGGAATTGAGATTGAGAGTTTTCACACGCAGTGCTGTGAAATTTTCTGTGGCTGCAGGTGTCTGGAGGTGTGCCACTCATACCAGATCAGGTTATTTACATTTTTATTGCCTAGTTGTATTAGAACTCTATAATAACATGAACTTGAAGGTCATCCTTGTAGACTACTAACTAATTTGATTTACATGGTGATGTAAAGTTAGACAAGTAAATCTCTGATATAATCTGGAACAATAGAGAACAAACAGTCTAAACCAGGTTATGGAAATAGGCCACTTTATCTTTAGAAATCCTGATGGCAAGTTATGTGGACCTGGTCCAAATGAAGGGGCGGTTAATCTATTTTTTAATATGATTTTTATTCCTTGTTAAAAATTCTGTCCCAGAGCTGTGTGCTTTCCTATTTAGCTTTCAGAGTTGGTCTTTGCTGAGAATCGTTTATATCCTATGAGATTTACCTCTGGGTTATAATGTTGAGTTGACACTGTTTTGTCAGCAGAGAATCTGCTCAGGTCAAGCACTCTTTGGTGAGCTTGTATTCTGCTACTGAAGACAAAATAGCTGCAATATAAGGACACACATGAGGGATGGAGTTTACAATCTGAATAATGTACCCCTTAAGAAAGGCTTGAAAATTTTCTTAAGCTAGTGCAAGTCCTTAGAAATTATTCTGCAATATAAAAGTGTTGAAAATCCTTACCCAAACTATTGTGCTCTGGGAATTAGAACATTTCTGATAAAGACCTGCAGACAGTTAAATCTGTCACCAAAAAACAACCAGTGTTGGTCTTATCCTCTAGTTTTATTGGAAGTGAACACCATGGTTGGGGTAGCACCATGTGCACTCTTGCCTAGTCCTGGCTGTTGTAGATACACTCCAGAAGGAAAAGGATTTTGTTACTTCTGCTTTCCTGCATTACCTAAGAAATCAACATATCAAGAGAAGCTATCTCATTTTATCACTTTGAAACTGACAGTGGTATTTTAAATAAATGATTTTCTCCAAGATGGCTATTTCAGAGCATCCTGCTGTCGGACGCCATCTGTTTGGTGAGCATCATCATTTCTGACTTCTGCAGTGTGGGAAGCAAATGTCAGACTGTCAAAGCATTTTCTATCATGCTCTAATTCTGGCTGAACAGAATTCCTATTTATTCACTTTGTTTAAGTGGTGTACAGTAGACTTTCAGGCTTTTTAGTCACATCAGGATTACAGGGAAGTGAAACCCACAGTCTACCTACAATCAAATCTCTTTATAACAAGAATTTGTAAAGAATCAAGGTACAAATTTGGTCAAATGAGGCTGTCAAGACAAAGTTAGATGTTAGCCTATGATGTTAGATGTTGATCTAATTGTCAGTGTGCCAAGTATTCTTTTTTTGAGAGCATTCTCAAATGAATGTGTTGTTCTTTCATGTATAAAGTTCAACTCTAGTCTCTCTTGGTAGTGTAATGCTTTATTGAGGTATTCACAAAGAGAGTGTTGACCCAGCTATTAAAAAAAAAAAGCATTTTCCCTAGTCTAGTTTTTCCTATCATCCTAAAGGTATAGTCAGCATGTTGTTTTTTACTCCTGTGCCTGGTTCTCAAATTTTTGTTTCTCCCATTGAAAGTTCATTAGTTGTGGGTTTTTTTCATCTCTCTGGATTTTCTGTTTCTTTAAAATTCTGTGCACATTACATGCTTATGAAACCTGAATTCCCAGTTAAGCTATGCAACATGTGGGAAGAACATCAGCAAAGTTTAAGTCAAGTGTGTTCAGATTGGTGGCACATCATTGTATTGTCAGCATCCTTTAAGCTGGGATGGTCAGCCAGGGAAATGCTATTGTATGTTATGGCTTTGTGTTGTAGGAAACCAAAGAAATACCTGGTGATGTGGTAGTTGATTTTTGTTTGGCCTTTTTTTAAAGTTTATTTTAGTTTTCTAAATTTGTTGAACATCACATTTTTTCCCTATATGCTCACATGGCTGAATTTAACAAAATAGATTAATAACTATTTCTTTTTCCCAGGAAAATGCTGTGAATGGAGAGCATCTGTGGCTAGAGACAAATGTTTCTGGGGACCTCTGCTACCTGGGGGAGGAGAGCTGCCAAGTCAAATTCTCAGTGAGTTATTTTTGGATTTCTTTTTCTGAGGTAACAAGCCTGGCTTCAGACTGATGCAGTGCTCAATGGCTTGAGAGCTTGAATTGTTTGCCCGAGTTCCAAAAGGAGAGCAAAAAGGGCAAAAGGCTTCTGGTAAAGACTTTATTGCTTCAGGAAAAAAGCCCAAACCAGTTTTGATTGACCCAGATTATTTACACAGTGAGAAGGTAATGAACAGCTTCACTAACGTGGTAGGGGAAAAAAAGAGTAAAATACTGAGATGTTTCAGTAATATTAAAAGACACTAGTCTATTTTACATGAAAATATACAAAATAATATCACTTGTTGCAGCCTCTGAGCAGAGGTTCTCATCAAATTTCTGCAATTTTAATCACTGCAAGGGTTTGAACTGAATTTTCCAAACTCTTGAATGCACTCCCCAGCAATGAGTGCATTCATATTTGAGTGTTTACCTTCTCCTGTTTGGGAATATTCAAGGTTAGCTTTTTCCTATTGAAGCTTTTCTGCTGTCTATGGAAGCATTTCATTGGAGTGATCTCAGATCCATGAGTATCTGTTGACTGTGGCACTTTCAGGCTATTTCAGGAGCTCTTTTTCCCTAGTGTTTCAGCATGATTGCTTCATCAAAAGAGAATAAACTACCCAAACCCCTTTCACTTTTTTATTTAGGAAGCTTGATAAGAGTGGGGATCCTGTGCTTATATCCTTGATCTGAAACAATGCTCTAAGGGAGTATGCTAGCCCTTGGACTGTAAAGGTTAAAGGGAATTCCTCTTCTCTGGGATGTTTGTGGTTACCATCTGTGACTCCTCATGATACTGCCTTTCTGCTTTAACTACCACCCTGCCCAGTGCTCCCCCACCTTCAGAGCATTTAATTAAAATAAAAACATTTTGATTCACTAATCATCCCCAGTTTTCAGGGCAATGTCATCCAAAATACTTTCCATAGTACACTTTTGTGCTTTCCAGAGCACAAATTTAATATCCATCTCCTAAAACTTCTCAAGCAAATTGGGTGCATTATGGTATATAGCCTTAAGGCCAAGCCTGAGGAGCTTTTGCCTCCTTCAGGGTACTGAAGCAAAGTCCCAACAACTGCTGGTTGTGTGGTAATACTCAAGGGAAGTGCCACTGTGTGTTTGCTGTGCACTTACACTGGTCCTGAGACACTGAGTTCTGGCAAAAGCTGGACACAGGATTTCTTTGGCTGAGTGGACCTTTGGTCTGACCCAGTGTGGTGGTTCTTGTGTTCTCAGTAGATTTTTTTGCCTTCCTAAAACTGAGCAAATTCTTCCTTGTGATTTAGCACATTGAAAGTAACATGGAAATTTAGTAATATATTGTATATTATTTAATATAAAAGAGATAAAAACTTAGCTTGGCAAACACAGAGATAAAAACCATGAATTTACCAACTCATGAAACATGTGAAAGCCTGGTCTGCTACACAATGCCATGATTCTTCAGGTGAAACATTAGAACACCATATACATGTGAACATGTGCTGTTAGGGTGTATCCAGATAATTATGACCATTAATAAAATTATCATAACTATTCTATAATGTGAGCTGAAGCTGTGTTCCCTTTTTTAAATGAGCGTATTTAAAATATGCTGAAAATTATAAAGAAATAATTTATTTGAGATTTAAATGGACGTGAATAAATTAAATGTAAGACATCTGAAGCAAAGAAATCTCAACTTACTGTGTATTTATAAATCTTCTGTCCCTCAAGCACAAGTCTGTAAGTTAAATTTACATGAAAATTAATTCCATCTGGTTAATTAAATTGAGTTTATGGAAGTAAAGTAAGTAAATACATTCACTCTTCTGGATGTATTCTCTTGCCTTTGATATGCTTTGGCCCAGGGGATTCAATGGAAATTATTTCAAAAGCCTTATTGAAATTAATAAAACTAACCAGCATAATTGAGAATTTTGTCCCTGCTGTAACATTTCATAAGCATTTAACAGCATTCTATGAGAATTTTATCATTCTCTGCTAAAATAACCCAAGTATTTTTCTGCAAGGCAATAGTCAAGCCCATCAAATTAAATATTTTATGATAAGCATGAAATGACCTCTTACACACTGATGTGAGTTCTCTGGTTTGCATATGCAATTTTTCTCCTCTTTGCTCATCATCCTCATGGGATGCTCACTTTTAGAATGATGCTCTGCACTGTTAACCTGATCTCTTACATAAAGGGAGGCATTCACTTGTTGTTCAAAAGCTGGAGTACTGTGGCTGTTTGTTTTTTTCACAAAAGTTCAGATTTTAACCAGAAGAGCTTCAGATCTTCTTTATTTATTTATCAATTTATTTATCTATCTATTTATTTCTTAATTTTTTTCCCCACAACTGAGAGCACCAAAGGAGGGAGAAATAAATTAAAGTGCATTGCATAGGGAGCGAAACATCTCCTGTTTTTCAGCTGGCTTTTTTTTTCCCTCTGGGCATAGCTACACACGTACACACTGTCCCTTTGCTGTTGCAGAAGTCTGCTCTGAGGAGGAAGTGTGCTGCCTGCAAGATCGTGGTCCACAACGCCTGCATGGAGCAGCTAGAGAAGGTGAGACATTGCCATCTTCTGGAGCCTGACGTAGCCAACACACTTTTAATTCTTTCAGTGAGGTTTCAGCCTGGAAAACACTCTGTGCCAAAGTTTTCACAGCTGTTTTAACAGTGTACATGTGAACAAAACTTGGCTTAAAATTCCACCTTTTTTTTTAAATATATTTATTTGAACCCTGTGAACCATGAAAAACCCCAAAACCAAACAAAGAAAAAACTAGAGAATGCTTTCACAGTTTTAATGCTTAAAAAATAAATTTCCTCTGCTTCTTAACTAAAAATGGAAGCTTGAAGGTGGAGTATCCTGTCATGTAAAAAATTGGCCTTTTACAATTCCTCAACTAAAGCCAGCATAATTCATTGTACGACAGCTATACTTATTATGAGCAGCGCAGCATAAGATGTTAGTGTGAACTTTGCCCCCTGTATTTACTAGACTATATTGTTTTCTCTTCAAAACTTCAGAATTCAAGTTTTTGTCTGTCAAATGGAAAACATCAAACCTTACCTTCATGCTACCATTATTTCTGTGAGCATCTGTTCTGCTCCTCATTTCCTTCTAGGATCCTTGATCACACCCAAGCACCTACAGCACATCTCTCACTGACTTCAGTCTTCCCCTCAGAGATTTGTCTTCATTATGCCTAACTGGAAATGTGCTAGAGAAATCTCCTCCCCACCCTTTTCAGTCCTGGTGGGATTTGTGCAAAAAATGTGTGGGAATTTCCCCATTGCTTTCATTAGAGCTTCATTTTTGCTCTTAAATGTTTAGCAATGTTGTTCTTCATAAAACAAGCTGATGCATAACAAATTTATAGCAGCAACCCTATAAGGAAAGGGCTTTTTCCTTTCCAAGTATTTGGACTCATGTTGACAAATCCCACAGTGATTGCCATAATACCAAGTTGGAGAGGTACCATTTCCACCCCCAATGCTTTTATTCACAGTGAAATTAACATTAGCACATGCTTTCAGCGCAAAATGTTACCAGTGAATTTTTCATGATTTCCTTCATCACCAGCAGTGCTGACTTTCCATAGCCCAGTGAGTTGGTGGCATTGCCAGCCAGAGAAAATGAGCACTTAGATAAAACCCAGCTTCTCTGTGCTGTTTTGGAGACCATGAAATCCCCCTCTTGGCAGAGGGCTGTTACAAAGTCTTTAAAGTTTAAAACTAGTACATAAGTCTTCTGTTTGACCCTCTCTGCCAAGGTGATAATTTTAAGGAAAATAAATATAAGCTGGGTCTTGCCTGTCTGCCATGACAACAACAAATTGCAATTCCAGGTGAAGAGCAATGGAAGACTAATATTATAATGCCTTTCATTTCTTTATATGTACTAGGTATTTTGCTTACATTTTTTGTGTGTACCTTTAAAAATTATTATTTTTATTTTTGCTCCTTAGAACTGTGATTTTGAACGTAATTATTAAATGAGGGAAGAACTTATTTATTTGTGGAGGGTTGTATTTAAATTTGGAGAGGCTTGGTCGTTCTACGTAACAAAAGCATAGCTGTGCATTGTCTTCAAATGTTTAGTTCTTTGAAGGATAATCAACTCAAACTTGAAATTTTTTAGTTTAGTGCATCCTTACTTCACATATCCTTTAGACTTTGTGCAGGTCTCTCTCTTCTTCAGTGCCTGTTCTAGTGTCTACATCCCTCTATTCTTATTTCTATTGTTTTTCTTTTCTCAAAGCTTTTTTCTCATAGGACTACCTTCTTGTTTATTAAATACTTTTTTTTTCTCTTCACCTTTCTCAAAATGTTTTCCATTTATGAGAACTCCTGTTCTCTTTGCAATGGCAACACCACTGCATGAGGCAATACAATGGTCCCCAAATGACTTGTGGCTGGGGAAGTGGATGCAATCATCTTTCTCTAAGGAAAAGGTAGAAATCTATGAGAATTTGCATGGTTCTTTATGTAAGTTGCAACTTCTCTACAGATTTTGTTTATGAAGACATAAGTACAGGATGTGCAAAAAGGTCTTGAGTGAAGAGTGAAATTTCCAGCACCTTTTGAGACCTAAGTTGAAGTCTGCACTTGTTTGCAAATGATTTTCAGAAAAACAAAACAGATAAAGCAGTTTCCTTCTAGAAGGAGGAGGCAGTTGAAATATTTGAACTGAGTAGGCAGCAATACCATTAGTGGAGCTGGGGGCTGTGTAGAGGTCTAGCAAGGAGAATTCATATGGCATATGAAAAGAGATTTTTTTCTGACATCCAGGTAAGTATCTTTTTTCACCCAGTGAAGCTAATATTTTAATAGATAATAAATACTTTGGAAGTCTAGCCTAAATCAAGATATTGGAATAAATTTTCTTTCAGCTCATTTTAAGTTCTAACAGTTTTATTTCAATGCCAGATTAACTTTCGCTGCAAACCAACTTTCCGAGAAGGAGGCTCCAGATCTCCAAGAGAAGTAAGTAGTGGACAAATTTCTTTTCATTTGACATGTGTGCTGGTCCCCCTGGTGTGCAGCTGCAAAAGTGCTTTGAGATTGAGAGGAGTCTCAGACAGAGAATTGGTTCCCAGTGGAGTATGTTCCCCTCTACAGAATAAATGTAAAACAAATTCTAGCTGAAACACTCTATTACTTATACTGACAGAAACCATTTCACTGTTCTGTTGTCTTTTGCCCACTCACTCAGTTATTCTTTTTCCCCTTTTTTTGGTAGCATTTTTTTCTTCTTGGCCTTTCAGCTAGTATTTTTGTTTTTTGAAAAACTATTTTCCTCTCCTTTCGCTTCTTCTCTCTTAATCTTTTTTTTTTCCTCTAGAACAATCTCAAACATAAAATCAAAGATTAAAAAACCTAAATATTTAGGAAGTAGTTCTGGCCTGATTTCAAAGAGAAAAAACCCCACCACCTTGTCCTTATTCCTCCTACAGTTTTGGTCGTTTTTGAGGTTTCCTGCAGTGCCTGCTGCACATTTTCGCTCCAGGAATTACTCTGTTGGCTGAAGGGACTTTTTCCTTGGTGTCTGTGAACAAATTTAACAGACATGCAAGGTGCCCATGCTCCTCTAACACATCTTTTTTATCCTTGTTTGCAGAACTTTGTGCGGCACCACTGGGTGCACCGGCGGCGGCAGGAGGGCAAATGTAAGCAGTGTGGAAAGGTGAGATTTCCTGCAGATCACAAGCACAACACAGGGCACTCAGGAGTTCAGGGTAGCTACTAGGTCCTTCTAGTCACTGCATTTTTTTTCTATCACAAACACTTGGCCTCTTATAATAGCTAATGCAAGCCTGAGATGTTCAGCATTACAGCTCTGATTCCCACATGGGAAGTGAAAGGCAGCTGCATCTGCAGGACTGAGAACATCATTTGTCCTGGGAGGTTGTGGTACTGGCTGCTCAAAGTGAGGAGGAGGAAAGCTGTGACTCCTTGAGCCTTTTTAATTGCTAGGCTAGCCCTGTACTAATATGATGTTCTTGCAGTGCTGTCCTCTGTGCCAAAATTGTGATGGCCTATTTTTTAGGCTCCTGGAAGAGAAAGGCTGTTGCTTTCTTTCTGTACCAGCAGCCTCTAAAATCTGTGAGAATGCTTTGTGCTTCTTCTGCCTAATAGATTATGAAAGCTTATTTCTAAAAAGATATAAAAAGAGGAAGAAGTACGTTAATTACTGAAGGTCTTTCTTCTGAAATATTATGAACCTCTGAAATGTATTGGGAGATATTTAAAAATTAAATTGACAAGGATTCAATTTCCTTTATTTAGCACTATATTATACTTCTGCCTTCCTCTTTACAAATAGTGAGAAAGTCCATGTTTCATCTCCATGGCACAGCGCTTCAGTCAGAGGAATATGAGATTTGTATCTGGATACTCATGCAGATTGCCAGCTACCAATAGGACATGCAATAAAAATGTGATGCCATTTTATAGCAAGTACCTTGGGAATGGTGCAGCAAGGCAGTTTGCACACAGCATTCTTGGGGTATGGCTTTGCCATCCTTCTCTGCCTTCTTGGTCTGGATCTCCCCTGCAGATATTTGGAGTTGATTTTGCAATGAGAGAACTCGCCAGATATCATATCCAAACTTGTGCTGGGTATGTACCCAGCCAAGTTTGGACAGCCCTGGTTGGTCTAAGTCTACAAATCCAACCATCAAACAGACAATATAGAAAACTTCAGAGAAAATCTCAGTTTTCCCCATAAATAAGAAATATTCAGTTAATAGTAACATAAGTATGTCGTAGTAGAGTTTTTCTTTGCCAGGGAACAAAAAATTAGAGAAAATTATAATGAAAATAATCAGTTAGATTTATTGGCCAAGCAGTCTCCTATTACAGCAAAATGCATGTGCTCTACTACGACATTTCAAAAACTTGCAAGTAAGAGCCACCTTTATTATTCTCTTGTCTTGCAAGAAAAAGGAAACTATCATTGAAACAGAATGACAGTATATTTAAAGCAATAAAAAATATTAATCATAGAATACTTAAGGATTCTGGTAGATCTTATTGTTGATTAACAGTCCTATCTCATGCCTGGAATGGGATGGTTAAGTATTTTAGTGATCATTAATTACAGTTCAAATAAAGAAAGTTTTCAGGATATACCCATTTCATGCTTCAAACCATAAGCAAGTGGATAGGAATTCATGCACTCCGTATCCTTAGCACAGCCTTGTGACTTTATATTCTGTGTGCCATTATGTGCCATGGCTAACACTTCCTGAAAAACTGAGTACACAGGGGTCTGCCACTGTTCAACCTTAGATCAGAAGTGCAGTTTGAAAGAAATTTTCCATGTTATCATCACTTGCAATGGTTCACATGGGGGACAGTCTTGTAACAAATGAACTGAGTTCCTTTTAGATTAAACCTAATTGGAAGTTCACTCTGCAGTTACTGGTGGGAATTCAGTTCACAGGACCAGACCTACAGCTAATTCAAAGTGAAATTATCTGAAAATGCTTGTGTGTAATCTCTTGAGTACCAACAGAGCCAGTGCTACCCTGTTACACATGATTGCTAGTGCAAATATGGACTATAGAAACTCATCTAGGCTTTAGGTTTTTACTCTTCCTGAGGGTGATTTCACTGATTTATTGCTGAAGTATTATATAGAGAAACTGGTACCAGGGAAGTGGTCCTGGAATGTGCAGTGTAACCAAGAAAACTATTTCTGTCTCATGAATTTCCAGAAATCATGTCTTTATAGTTAACAATCGATGATAATCTTTCCTGTGATCTTGCCTTGTTGAACTTTGAGTTCATGTAAAGTTGTAGCATTTAGAAACCTCCTTTAGCAAGAAATTCCTGAACTTAACTACATGTTATGAGAAAAACTACTTTTGCTTGTTTCAAACCTGTCACACGTTAGATCTTTTTCCTAATACTTCATAGATGTTGTGTTTGAAGGGATGGTAATTAAGAGTTCCCAACCCATGCCATCCACACCATTCATGATGTTTAAGAGTTCTTTTCTTTCTCTTGAAGACATGGAAAAAAAAAGGCGGTTTTGTAGCTGTTAGCTATTTGTTATCTGAGATCATTAGAGTAATCAGGAATATTTTTTTCTTTCTATAATATGACATAAAAATGCTCAGACCATGTGGTCCAGCATCCATTCATAACTATGTGCAGTAATAGAAGCTTAAGGATGAATGAAAAGGAGTCCTTTTCTAATATACTTCCAGTTATGAGTGGCTGAGGGGTTTTCTGAGCCTGAGAACACATTTTGGACCATAATGTTAAGCAAACACTATTTCTTTAACCTTCTGTGGTGTCCAGAGTGAGATGCCTTCCACACAGATGCAGTGTGTGTCTACAAGGCCTCTGTCACTGGTATCCCTTTAAAGACCTGTGGATTGATGCAGGGCTGAATGTAAAGTTAAGACTGAAATTTCTAGTGCTTGAAAGGCCATTCTAGTTCTTTGTTATTGTAGCAGAGATCACCATCCAAGTGCTTCTGTTGCAGTCTGTATTCAAGTTGTAACAATACCTCTCTCCTACAGTTACGCTGCATTAGGGTATCTCTAAGAGCACTAAAAAGAGAAAATCTTTTGTAGGAAAACACTTGCAAAAAATTATTAGTAGCCCTAACACTGGTGTGAAAATAGTCTTTAATAATCTATACTTCTGTGAATATAAAAGGAACATATCAGAACTAGTAATCCCTATGTTCTGTCTTTGGTGCACAGGTGTCTATGTTAGTTTGTACTTTAATCCAGACTGTTCAGACAGGTTGGATTACCAACACAGGTTGGTTTTGTGGCCATTCAAGCACTCTTTTCCTACAAGTGCATTTTTTCTGGTGTGCACACTGTTTATTTCTACAGGAGCAGTTCCACAACGTGGGGTTTCGTGTGTTGTGGAGGGATTGGTTGCTGCAGAATCAGTGCTAATCATATACTGTTAGCCTGATGTTCTCAGAAAGGTGAAATTCATTTTCTGTCCCAAATTAGAAATTTTGAGTTAGAAGACCTCCTTGCATGATTGAAGACATCTGCAATTCAGTGCTTCTCATTCAGAGTAGGCAGAAAATATGATTTCTAGTGAAATATGGAGGGTTCCTTTGTTTCAGTACAATAGTCCCTGCCAAATCTCCCTGTGACTAACAGTGCACGGTTTATTTAATCAATTACTGTATTTGTGAAGCTAGCTTTCAAATATATCCCATTTTACCTGAAACTTCTATCCTTAGAAAGAATTAGCTCACATTTGTAAAGCAACTTGAGGAAGGAAAGTGATGGTTTATTGCTACTTATCATTAATATGTTTTTATTGCTGTATAATTTTCTCTAATGACTCCCTAAAAGCCAAATGACTTACTAAATAAATGAAAAATGATCCATCCAGAACCAGACAAGCTGCTCAGTCCATATGTTTAAAATGCACAGCTGATGGGCTGTGGAATTAATGTACTGAATTTAGACTCTTATTTTTGGAGATTTTGGGAGAGAAGAGTTTTCCCATTGATGTTACAAGGCAGAAAAAACCACAACACTTTGTGCCCATGAGGGACTGAAATAATTATTTTTTATTTTAGTGCACTTTAGAACAAGGAGGAGTGAGATTTGTTAGAAAAATTATGGAGCACTAGAGTAAGTAAATGAGGAAAAAGTGTTTTGTCCAGTGTCAGACCTCTGCTCCAGCACTTGTATCACAGTTACTGCTCTTATGCTCACACTGAATGGCAGACAAGATGTGCCCAGCCAGAAATGTCCGGCCAGCTTGTCTTTGTTAAGCCACGTCACTACACCCCATTGCTAAACCTGAATGTGCCAAATCACCATCATTATGAAAATTCTACTATTTGAATTTCTCTGAATGTAAACCGTGAGGCATGAGGGGAAGGATTGAAACAAAGCCCCAAAAATCTAGTCAGAGGTGACACAAGCCTTTTCAGGAGTTGGTCTTGGTGATGAGGTTCATGTGCAAACTGCTTTGAGTACATGCTGGGGACACCTGTAGATGAAGCTGCAAGATGTAGTTCCGCATTCTGGGCAGGCAGGTAGAGCCTCCTCCTTATCTGAATATCAATAGAACTGTCCTCAGCCACCCTGTACAGACAGATTGTTGCTCAACCCCTCACTTCAGAAGACCAAGGCATCTCTGCATGGTTTGTTTGTTTTGGGTTTTTTTTGTTTGTGGTGTTTTTTTTTGTGTGGGGTTTTTTTTTTGTTTTTGTTTTTTTGTTTTTTTTTTTTTTGTTTATTTAATTCTCCTTCTTGGTGTGCTTGACCTTTTCATTTCACTGAGCACTAATAGGCTCATTTGTCCTGCAGGGAGAAGGACTTTAATAACAGAAGCAGTGAGGCAATGACCTGTTAGACGTTACTAAATCAGTTTATAACTTTTTTTTGCATTGGGTCTTGGGCATTTTCCAGCATGTAGGAAATTTAGGTATTATTTAGCTTATTGAAAAGAAAATTGGCCCACAGATTCATCACTTGGGAGAGAGATGGAATTAGAAAATTCTGGATGGTGATGGGCTACTTACTGAGATAGAGGATTGATGGAAGACCATGAATAAAGGATCCAACCAACTGCAAATCTGAAATCTAAGCAGTAAAGACAACTGACAAACTTTTCACTGAAATTGTGGACTTTGCATCTCTCCAGGCATCAACCCAAATCAATTTTTTTTCTTGACTAAAATAACCTTTAACTCAGCTCAAAATTACAGACTGTATCTGATTGATTGTTGCCTGTGTTGCCTGCAGAAGGATATATAGGACACAATTGTCTTTTCCAATCTTAGAATTTACAGCACAGTCATATTGCATTCTGTAGAAAGAAGGTCCTCTCTAGGAGAATAAAATTGCAGTTTCTGGTAGGGGTGGGCATTTCTTGCTTTAAAAATGCAAAGAAATAATTTATTTTAATTGTGAGATCTGAATCAAGCCATAATGTTTTTTTTTTTTTTTTGGAACTTACTGGAAAGAGTTTAATCTGAGTCAGTTCAATAAAATTATAAACTTAATTACTTCATTTCCCTGTCAGAACACTCCCAGAGGGACGTTGTAGTTAATTTTGTTCTGTTGTAAAAAAAAAGGTAATTCTACTCTCTAGTAAAAAAGGAAAATTCAAATTCTTGTTTATATTTAGAACAAACAAGGTTGCAATGACAGAACACTTTGTTCAACAGAAAATCTGAAACTTGCGAGTCTGTAGAAATCCATTAAAAATTAAAATAGACATTTCTTCTCTATTTCTTCCATTGTTTTTAACTGGAAAAATGTTTAAGGAAAAGTGAAAAATGTTGCAGAAATCCTTTTAAAATAGTTTTGTAAATACTCCCCAGTGGACGAACCTTCTCTGTTACCTCCTATAATTGTCTTATCCCCCAAAAATCTGTTTGCCTAGCACAGTCACCTGGCTAGAGATAGATATTTTCTTATAGCCAAGAGGAATTTAATGGTTTTTTCCCCGCTGGTTATTCTAGGGCTTTCAGCAGAAATTCTCCTTCCATAGTAAAGAGATTGTGGCCATCAGTTGTTCCTGGTGCAAGCTGGCGGTAAGTGGAAAATACTTCAGGAGACTGGGTTTGACTAGGAGTGCTTGTGGGGTTCTTTTGTTTGTTGGTTTGGTGCTTTTGTTTGTCTTGGTTTGTTTTTGTTTGTGTCTTTTTATTTTTTTTTTCTAAGAAGACGTGGCTTAGGAAGATAATCTCTAGTTACATGTCCTGAATCTTCATATATTGAAGGACTTGAAGATAATGGAGTTGGGATTATTGCCCCAGTTTTTATACCAACACCATCATCTTCTTCTCCATGCTTCCCCTTTGTCTTTCTTGACTCTACTCTTTCCCTCTCTTCCAGTTTCATAACAAAGTCACCTGTTTCATGCTACATCACATTGAGGAGCCATGTTCCCTGGGGGCTCATGCTGCTGTCATTGTGCCTCCCACCTGGATCATTAAGGTGAAGAAACCTCAGGTAACTGCATGCTGATGTCTGTTTCTGAAGCTGTCTGGCTGTGCAGGGCCTGTCTGGCTGTGCAGGGCCAGCCTGGCTTCTCTGCTTGGTCCTCCTTCACCAAGGCATGCTTGTTCACGCCTGCCTCTCTCCCTGAAACCCAGCATACATCCATGGTGGTTATGAACCTGTATCCTCCTTCCCCTCCATCAAGTCCTTCAGTGAATTTCCCTGTTTGGGATGATTAGCAACAAACATGACTTGTTCTGAGCTGATTCAGCTCAGAGTTGTTCCTGTAACTGTGAGTTCAGCAAGCATACTGCAAGACATCCCCTATGTGGTAGGCAGTCAAGCATGTTTCATTAAATAGAGCTGAGCAAATACAGGGAAAAACTTCACAAACATTCACTTGAACTGCAGTAGGAATTGGCTGTGTCTGGACTTGCATCTTTTTGAATTTGCCTTTAATGGACATGTAAAGAATCAGGTCTTACTTGTACCAGGGCTTGCACATTCAGCTGTAAACAAACCCACACAGTTATTGTTGCACATAACAGGCATTGGACTTCAAAGCTTTTGTGATGGATGTGGTAGGTCTTGGAGAGGGTAATTCACTGAACACAACAGGGAAAAAACATATCCAAAAGAGAGCTGGCCAGAAATTAAAAGGGAGTTCACATCCTGCAAGGATAATTTTTTCTTTGAAAGTCTGTTTTTACTCCAAGTTCAGCTGAAAGAAACAAGCACTGAACATATGAGGGAGTCAAAAATACCGGTTAAATCTTTTATTTCAGAATAATATTCTTTATTTCAGTCCATCCTTGGGAAGTGACCTGGGCTTTTTGACTCTACCTCCTGGCTGCCAAGAAGAAGCTAAGAAGTTCAGGCTGTAGCCAAGGCATTAAGACAAAAGTAGTCCATGAAACCAGAAAAAGGCCTAAATTGTGACACTGCCTTTAGTTCCAGTTTAGGGATGTGACAGATTTGAGCATGGGTAGGAAGCCTGGTTGTTAAAGGCAAGGAGCAGAGGAAATACATGGATAGAGTTACCAAAAAATCAACCAAAGAGGCCTCTGTTTCTCCTTTAGATCAAGAGAGAGCATAGCAATATTCCTAGCCACCTCCACTCTGGGGAAAAAAAGGCTTTTTTGCCATTTGTAGATTTTCCCCACACTCTTCTTTCTCAGTCTCCTCTGGAGAAATACTTTTTTCTCTTTTGTTGGGGAATGTTTGAGTCCTTGGCAGAGCTTGGCTAATTTTCAACAACTGTGTGGTATTTGACAGATGTATCCATCTTTGACCTTAGAAAAAGAAGTGTTTCTTCAATTCTTTTAATTTTTATTTTACTTAATTTTTAGTAAAAAAGGGGTAAAAAAACAACCAAAACAAAAAACCCCAACAAACCCTGACATGTAATTTTCTTTTGATTTGGCTTTTGCCCAAAGCAAGGTATATCTTCCTTACAATATTTGTAGAGAATTTGCTTGCTTGTCCATTTTTTATTTCAAATTAAAAAATGAATCTAATTTAGGCAATTATAATTTATGGAAAAAAATATCTTTTAAATAAAGGCTTAGAATGTTAAGCCAAAAGAAAGTAACTCTTAGCTTTGTATGCCTGAGTCATGAGCACAGAGAAAGTACTTGATTATTAACTTGCAATCACATCTCTAGTCCTTGAAATTCATGGTCAGTAGCATGCAAACATTATCTTGAGTAGCTGGAGCATTAAATACATCAGAATTGTATTTAACACAGACAATGGGTGCATTTCCATTAAGCTTCCTAATAGCACCCATTGGAGTTATGGGAAATGCATCCTTATTACTTTAGAAAATAGTGATGCATCTTTTGGATGTGTTTTCAGATTTTTTGGCAGAAGTCTTGTTTTCTTTTTTATTGTTTTCTTAGGAAATATTTTTCCTCTCCTGCTGTTTCTGGCCAGCTCTACTTCTATGTATTATGACTCTCTTCACCTTATAGAAATGTTTGGTAAACACTATGAAATATTCTCATCACTTCATCCGGAGAGTACAGACAAAATATTTACAAATTGTTGTAATTTCACATTAAAAAAAATGAATGTGTAATCAACAATGTGTTTTTCACATATTTAACAGTCAGAATAAATATGGCTAGAAGCTTTTTGGGTATAAAATATTTCCTCAGCTCTAATTAACTACTTACATTGGTCACAGACAACTCCTGAACTGAACTCCCTGCTCATATAAAATTGATTTTTAGTGGTGCCTGCATCCTGTTTGTTTGTGCTTTCCTTGAAGTAAATAAGATGGCATTTTGTAGCAAAACCTTGCCCTGTTTTACAATTTTTTATTTTTTGACTGCCAGAAAAATGGTTTTCCATGCTTATTTTGTACAACATGGGTCACCACCTTTCAAATATTAGGCTTGCACAAAGGCCACACTGTGTCTCATTACCAACAATGTTGGGCTAGTGAAGCATCATGGTGTAATTGATTAAAACAAATTTATACTGACATTTATGGTCTAAATGGGGAGCTTTTGCTTCTTATAAGCAACTGATTTAAAGATGAAGAATATTCAGAATGGTTCAAACAGTTTTGGAATTGGTGGTAGCCCTGTGTGTAGTGACCCCCTTACATGAATGGAAAACTCCAATATACCTCTTCCATGTTATCTGTGAGCCACTTCTGTAACTTTTCTACTGATTTCCAGTATTTCTGTATTGTTAGCAGTGCTTTGGTACCAGCTCTGCTTTCCTGGGTTTCCAAACAATTCCATCTCCTAGTTTGTGAAGCAGGTCACCCTTGTTGACTGGTGGTATTTTATTATAGGTGATGTTTGGTAGCCAAAGTGGTGTTAGCTCTGGCACTGGACTTGCTATATGCCTGTGTTGTGGGAGAAAAGTAGATGATAAGGAGGATCTGACTGGTGGATTTACTGATTTAGTCTGTCTTCTGTTTGGGAAGACAAAGGCAGTAACTGTAAAATTCCAAGGTTTTTCTGTTCAAGGTGAGTAAATTGGTGTTTTCTTCTCCTCCTTTGAGGACTGTGAACTAGTTCTGGTGAACAATTACTTTCCTGGGCTTATTTCTAGAGTTCCTCAATTGCTGAGTGCAGCTGGCTTGTCTGACAGTGGTTTGTGAACAACCAGAAGATGGTCAAGATTGACCTTCCCAGAGACTGTTCATTATTAAAGTAATTTGAAAATCAGTGTGCTAAAAGCCTTTGAAAACTGAGGATGAAATGTTGTAAAGGAAAAGGTTGAAAAGTTTCATTGGATTTGTCTGAGGTAGTCCATGGCCTTCACACCATCCAATACTGTACAAGAAGGATTCCAATTACTCTGTTCATCTACCTCAGCTTTCTGAGAGCTATACTGACCATTCAATAACATGAGAAATCTCTTTTTGAAGATGGACAAACTGACATCCACAAAGGAGAGGTTTCCTCTCTAGAGGGAAGTTAGGATTTACTTATTGTGCCCATTTAAAGGTATGCTTTGCTATCAGGTACCTTGCTAAATAACATTGTTTGCTTACAAAACACTCATTACCTTGTTCTGTGAACAAGATCTTATGTATCCATTTCTTCACTTCAATGTGCAAAGACTGCTGATTGTCTTTGGCTGTTACTCTGCTGCATGTTTGCAAAAAACTCCTGTGTATGTCGAAGCAGCTTTTTGCAGTTCATCTGCTACGGACACGAGGTTGCATTTTCTGCAGCAAAGCTTTAGGTTCTGTTGACACTATAGGTGTAGGCATATTTAAAAAAAAAATTAAAAAATAGGTAAAATAACATTGTAGAGATGCAGCATTTAGTGCCTTTTTAGCATGGAAATTAAAATGGTTATAACCATGAATGGAGGCTTAGCCTTAAACTGTTTCTTTAATGTAGTTGAATGCCTTTTCCCACTCCACTGTGGGAATACAATCCCCATTATAGTGGGATTTAATGACAACTGCAATTAATCATTCTTTAAATTATTCTTTTATAATTAATCAGGGTTTTGCTGAGCCATTTTTACCCTTGACACGCATGTGAGCTTTCAGAACATTGGTAACAAGAGTGTGGATTGACTAGATCTCCTCTCTGACCTGTGTTTTGCCCAAACCCAGGGAGAATCCTTCAGAGAATGCCTGAGGAACTGGGCTAAGGCCCCCATGGGAGGCAGCTGTGAATGTAATGCCCCCAAACTTTCTGTTGACATCAAGGCTTTTGTCTGCAGTCAGTGTGACTACTGAGGCAGGGCAGCACAAGACCATGCAGGTGGGATTGCTGATGCACTTGGTAGTCAGTGCAGTCTGTATGGTTTATCATGCTTTCAAGATCACTTTGTATCAGCATGGGGGAGATGATGAACTTATGAACATTTCTTTAGGTGCTTTCTCAAAATATGGTCTAAAATGCCAGATTCCTGAAATTGCTCTACAGAGCTGTCTTGTTTTTAGTATTTTCCGTAAGCAATAAGGCATTGACTATTTCCTTCTTCAGAAATGCTGAGAAGTTGGGACCTTGTGCTCTGTGGCGGGCTTCTCTTGGTCCATGTGATAGAAGGCAATGCCTTTAGGTATTTCAGTTAGATAGCTGTTAGTTTTTCTTCTCAGGAATGTGGAAACATTGACTTGTGCATCTCAAGTGTGTGTCATACCCAAGTCTTGAAATTTTGGAAGTGGTTGATGAGTATTAAGCAAAACTTAGTAGATATTCTTGGTGATGTTGGATAGCAAGCAGGATTAAGAATAAACATCACTTTTTACAGATTTCATGATCTCTGCTTGTTTAGTGGAACACATCTGATCAACGTCAGGACAGAAAAGAACTTTCAGATGAGATGAGTGAATCTTGCTTTCCTGCTTATAACCAGGAAAAAAAAAATCAATGAACTTTCTTCTAATTCCTCATGCTACTTTGTTTCCTGGTGATGGTTAGACTAGAAGTTGAAATACTGTAAAAGTATTTGGAGTATTTCCCATGAGACAAAATTTCAATTATGGAAATGGTTAGGATTTCCTGCAGGTATAACTTCAATTAGTGAATTAAAATAAAGAAAAAAGCATTATGAAATTCCCCTTTTTACTCTTCTTATCACACCAGAACACCTTTTTGCTCTGTGTCACTGAGCAGACTGTCATCTGCCTGGAGAAGAGCCTTAACATAAGTTCTATTTTCATAGATTCTGCACAAATACAAGCACTTGTACATTTTTTTCCTATGTAGTTAAGTGGTATTAATTTTTAAAAACACAACAAAAAATCAGCTGACAAACACCTTCTCTACTTAAATCCTTAAAAATCAGCAATTCAGTTTGTTCCTTAGCAGATGATTGCACAAGTTTCTTGATAGGCTGGAACTGACACTACAGTGCCAGCATCATATGCCATGGTGGCCTACGTTATGTTGAGTCATAATGGTTGCCAGAGCTAAAACTTGTTGTTTTCTTTCCTTAAAAAAAAAAAAAAAAGCAAACAAAAAAACATGAAAAATACCTTATTTATCATGTTTTTTTATTACATCTTTATGCAGGTGGTCTCCATACCAGGAGACGAGCCTGATTGGGCAGGAGACTGGAGCCCCGAAGGGGAAACGGGCGTCTCCTACCCCTTTTGGGAGGGTTGGCAGGTACAACATGTGGTGTTATGTGAGTCTATGGGAGCATCTGATCTTTTTTCCCCCCTCACAGCGTGGGAAAGTTTCCAGTTCCAAAGCACCAGTCTGGTCTCCGTGTGTGGCTTTCTCCATAAACGGTGGTGTGGAAATGTAACGCATGCAGCGCATGTAATTTAAATCTCGAGCATGTGCCAGATACTCTTATCATTCTCCAAGTGGACATGCATGGAAGAGCTTCGTAAAGGGGCTCTGTCTGGGCCTGTCTTCTAAATTTTGTTTTGCTTTTCATGTATTCTTTTTTCTTTTGATGTAGAACTCCTTAAAGACTTCAACAAGGCGAAAGAAGAGAACGTCCTTTAAAAGAAAAGCCAGCAAAAGAGGAAATGATGTAGGTATTCAAGTGCTTTGGATATCATGCTCCTTTTGTTTAAATGTCTAAACACAGACTTAAAAGTTTTTAGGCTTTTTTTTTTCTTTTTTTTCTCATTGGAATGTTTAGTGTATTTTTCCCCTGGGAAATTCCGTGATATTGAATTTGTTGTTAGAAGAGATAAAACTCGTATGAAAAGTTGTATTTTCTGAGTTGATTTTTTTTGGGAAGCAATGTGCCATACTCCAGGAGAAGGACCAGCACCCTAAAGAAAGAGTATTCCCTTGGGATGTAAGAGACTCAGCTCACACCCTTTTTTTCCACTAAGCAGAACTGGGGTGTGAAACTGGGATTGTGAAACCTGTGGTGAGTGCCCTGGTGCAAGGCTGTGGCCCGGATGTGATCCGTTTTAGGATGTCTTCTTCAGGGGATCTCATATTAAAATTGGGCCACAGAGAGAGAAAGCAGTTTATTGATCTGTTGGTTTATTTACCACCTGTCTATAGAAGACCTTGCTTCCATATCCTTCCTAGTGGATTAATTATATAGACAAGAAGCCTCAAGGGAGAGGTGGAGGGAGACTAACCCTTGCACAGCCAGGGCTCTCTGGTTCAAGTCCTTTCTTGCATGGTGGGAGAACTGCAGACCAGAAACTGCAGTCTGTGTCTATAAAATCCCAGGACAGTGCCCTCATTACTGGGCTCTGGGGTGTCCTGCACGGGTGGGGTAGGGAGTAGGGAGGCAAATAGTTTTCCCAAGGATGTATCATGTTGGATCTGTGGCATTTTTTCAAAGGTGGGAAGGCAGCAAGGCCAAGAATTTGAGAGCAGATTATCTGCAAATAAGTGCTTATGCAGCTTGTATGTTCAATGGAATTCATGGAATAAGTAACTTATCTCATTCTATTTTCCTTTGGAAAAATTGTTTGTATTAGAAATAACACTGTCTCTGACACATTAGCAGTGTTGTGTGAATAATTGTGGGGAATAGGGTCAGAAATAATCTCAAAAGAATTTTGAAATAGTTATAAACTACCCTCAAATCATATTTTCCCCTTCCTATTTTATTCTGTTGTCTCAGCTGGATAAATTGCTCTAATTAGGCACCACATTGACATGGCTGTACTATTTCCAGTACCTGAGGTAGTTTTGTCAGAGCTAGATTGTGTCTTCTGTGTGTGCTTTGCCAAAGAATGTTACATCCCTTGTACTGTTCCTTGCTTCTGTTTCTCAGGATAACAAAGGCCGGCCTTTTGTGATAAAACCTATCTCCTCTCCGCTCATGAAGCCACTGCTGGTTTTTGTCAATCCAAAAAGTGGAGGGAATCAGGTAAGAGTATCAGCTGGGTCTGGATTGTGAAGTTTAAGTTTAACAGCAGGGTTTCTGCAAGTGGCTGTATTTCTTGGCCAGTCAGATAGAAAGGACTCTCTGCCTGAAGAAGACTGAGCATCTTCCTCAGAAGAGGTCCTTGCTGTGGAATGGCCTTTCTACTTCAGTAGAGTTGGATGACTGGAATGGGTATTTGAGTGGCTGTACTCCTGTCTCCAGATTCTTGAAAGGAATCTAAAATGATACTTTGGAATTTTTCAGGAGATTTCATCTTTTCACAGAGAATTTAGGTTTCCAGTGAAGCTTTTAGACTTTATCCAAAAAGTGGTTTAGCTTTGCTAGGAAAGGCTTGTTAAAATTACTGAATGTGAAATGACATATTCCTATGGCATCTAAGAAAGATCATTAGTGGTCTTGGACTGTACCACAGAAACCATGTTGCAGTGACTTAAATGCAGCAGACTTAGGACTCTTGGAATGAATGCTTACCAAAGTGAATATTGCCCTGGTTCTGCCACTTTTTGAATATCTAAGAATTGGAGTGCTTTTCAATAAACAGGGCCTTGTAATAGGAAAGAATGGTGTAAGATACAACAGAGGCCTATAGAGCATGGAGTATAGGCACTGCTCATTTTCTCCTCTGTTAGAATTAGAGAGGATTTGAAATTCAAAATAAAAGACAAAAGCTGGTTCTTTTCACAGTCTGTAGTTCAGTGAAAAACTCCTTGCATCAGTATGTTGTGGATGCTAAACATAGGCTGAAGGAGATATTTGGAAGTGAAAAACCATGAAGTCCTGTACCTCCCCCTGGTTCAAATGTTCTATGAACTGCACACAGCTGAGACTGGAAGAATACCTATGGCAAACATCCCATTTATTTTCTCTGTTCTTATACCTTTTCCTAGGTACTATGACTGCTATTCTTGGTTCTTCACTTCAGGGAAGGTGTCAGGCAGAAGAGCCATGCCTAGGAAGGGAGAGCTATGGAAAATTCCTGATGTGTACCCTCAGGCCTGAGGCATTCTTGAACTAGAGCACAAGCTCAGCCCATAGAGTTCTTAGCTCCCTGCTAGTAGTAAGAAATCCTGTCACTTTGTGTCTGGTCAGAACGTGAAGGAAGGGATTTGAGTGGGAGTATAAACCTCAGAGTTTGAGAAAATAGAAATTATACCATTAGGTTGTGGGCTGGCCACACTGCATTGAGTGAGGGACCATTGGGGCAGCTGTACCCCACAAAGTCCTTGACTCCTGCTGCATTAGATGGAAGAGGTTACAATGATGACTGATCATCATGGTGGTGTGCCACTGCCATTGCTTGGACATTGGGCAGCACACTGGTTTTGGCTAAAATCTTGTTCAACTTCTTGCTGTCATGGATAGCTGAGGGTGAGGTGGGATAACAGAGGTTTCTTCTTGTTACAGGTGGTGAGAAGCAGGAGAACAGGTTGCTGTGGGAGATGAACCTTTGGTCTGACCCCAACTGCCTGTTCTTATGGACCATTAGTGATCTGTGTTGTTGGAATTGGTCTATATGCCTGCATGTGCGCCTTGTCCTGGATTGCTATCCTACAGAGCAGTCATTTGCTATGCCACTTTTTAGTTTGTCTTCTTGTTTTATGTTGGTTTTATAAAGCACAGAAAAAAAGAAAAGCAGTTGAAATGCAGTGAATAATGCACACTATTATTTCCAAAAATCATTAAACTGCTCATAACTTCCCTTCCTTTGATTTTTCTCTCTTGCCAGGGCACCAAGGTACTCCAAATGTTTATGTGGTATTTGAATCCACGCCAGGTCTTTGATCTCTCTCAGGAAGGGCCGAGAGATGCGTAAGTACTGGAGCCTTCATTGCTGTGCACCCTATTTCTGATCTGGTCAGGAAAACAGGAGAAGATCCAGCTTGGCTGGATTAGTGACTGTGTGAGGTTTACATATCCAGGTTTTGGTAGAAAGGGGAGTATTCTATTTGCAGAGTGCCCTGACGAAGGAAGGAATGGAGAATCTGACTCCATGTTCTCAGAAGGCTAATTTATTATTTTACGATACTATATTATATAAAAGAATACTATTCTAAAATATGTTAAAGAATGCAGAAAGGATACTTACAGAAGGCTAACAAGATAATAATGTAAACTCGTGACTCTTTCCAGAGTCTCGACACAGCTTGGCCCCAATTGGCCAATGAGTGAAAGTAACCCACAGCAGAAACCAATGAAACAATCACCTGTTGGATAAACAATCTCCAAACACATTCCACATGAGAGCACAACACAGGAGAAGCAATTGAGAAAAAAATTTGTTTTCCTTTTTCTTTGAGGCTTCTCAGCTTCCCAGGAGAAAAATCCTGGGTGAAGGGATTTTTCCAGAAAATGCAAATGCCACAGGGGAAGGGCTGCAGTGGGGGCTTTTGTGAGAATAGGTCAGGAGCTGCCTCAATGTCCAGAGAGAGGCAGGTCCAGAGGGCTCCAAGGCTCACTGAAGATCCCAGTGCCTGACCATTCCCTAATGAATGAGCATTCCAGTGGGGTGAGGCTGCCTCCAGACTGCCATAGCACTGTGCAACTGTCCCTGCTCACTGAGTAACTAACTCAGCTTAGCAAGACAATACCTCAAGTGCAAACTTCTTCCGAGAGAGAGTACCTCTCTTTAAAGGGCTGATATTTGCTGCCAAGGGCTGAGAAACCATCCTTCTGTGGTACTTAACATGGGGATACTGGCTTTTCTTAACCATCTGTTCAGAACTACTTTCACATTTTGTAAATATGTTTTATATGTTTTTGTAAATATATTTACTATAAATATTTTACAGTAATAATGTAAAATCAAATATTTAGAAGAGCAGTCCAAATGTTTCCTATTCAAGGCACCCAAGTTTTTTATTTTCCTGCAGAAGTACCTGCACTGCTGTTCTCTTGTAATGTTTAGAAGCTTTAAGTTAGACATACATTTTTCAGAGCTGTATAATGGGAAAAGGAGGGTTAGTTCCTCTGACCACTCAGCTCTCTACATGTGAATGTCCCTACCTTCATTAGAAAATATTTCATTATGGCTTTCTGAAGGGTGCAACAGAAGGAGCAGGACTTCAACGGGTGCTTTTTTTGGTCTTTCTTGTTGATGTTTAGATCACATAGCCAGAGAAAGAACTCTATTACATATTCTTGCCTTCTGTAGTGTTAAAATACAGTCACTAGTTGAAGAAGCTGTCACATTATGCAAGACTCAGAAACAGTAGCTCAACAAGTCATGATGAAGAACATTAAATATTGTTTTAAAACCTCAATGTTTAAATTTGTTTACTTTAGGGTAAGAGAAAAATGAAAGATTTTGACCTCCCTAGAGGGAATATGAAAATCTGGGAAGATGCTAAACTGATCAAACACTTGTCAGGAGGTGCTGCCTGACATAGAGGAAGGCCTCATTTCACATCCTGGTGGTTTCGCATTTCCACCTCTACTCATATTCTTAGTAATGAATATTTGAAAATGCAGTAAGTGGTGGTTACACTGTCACTCAGCAAAATACATTAAAAATGTCTGCATTGCTGTTCTTACATTTTTCTCCTTTTTTCCCCCCTTTTTCTCCCTGGGCAGGCTGGAGCTGTACAGAAAAGTGCCGAACCTGCGGATCCTGGCGTGTGGCGGGGATGGGACGGTAGGTGGCAGGGGCCTGGCAGTGCCATGCTCTTTGGCCAAGTCATTAAACTCCTCACAGTGGTGGCATTTCCACCTCACCCTGCCTGCAGAGGCACGGAGAGACAGCATATCTTACACTTGTGAAATCTATATTTGTTTTTCAATTTCCTGTGTGGTCTGGCCTGTGAAGATATGAGGCCAGGTTCTCATGTCCAAAGCTCTCTCTCCTTTATGCATAAAGATTTTGTACAGCTTGAAAGGAATAAAAAGTAACTCTGCTGGCCTCCTCTCATTATATACACTAGATCTGAGGGTTAACTTAGTGTCTGGGAGCCATTATATCTTAATTTCTGCTCCTTCCTGCTAGACCCTGGCAGATCCAGGTTCAGCACTTTTCTTAACAACACAATTTCTGTGTTCCTGGATAAGTGAATAGGGTCAGGTCTTGAAAGGATTTGTGCCTTCATTTGGAGAAAAACTCTGCAGCTCATGGTCTGAAGGTCATGAGTGGTAATGGAGTTATTATAACTGCATTCTCTTTCCAGTACTTCAAAATATTTTAAATCTCAGTCTGTGACACTGAATGCTAATGCAGTTGGAAAACTGACCTTTAATCTCTAGGGTCTCAGTTCCTCAACATGCATTTGATGGCAATTTTAGCAGTAAGAATGATAAGGAAAATGCATTACTACTTACAAGATCAGTGATTGGACAGAACATTTCTATGTAGATGTTTAGGGCATGGAGAGCTGGTTGGTTTATTTTGTAGAGAGCTGAATCCCCTCTTTTAGTTCACCTTGGCTTGAACTTCTGGGGGATTTTTTCCAGCTTTTGTGGGTTCTTTTAAAACCCCAGGGGTAGGGATCTTAATATCAATGTTTCCCCTGCAAGAATGAAGAAAAAAATCCGTGATAAGACCACTGCCTTGCTGGTACATGGGAAAGCAAGACATGACTGTTACGGAATGATGAACTTTTCCTTTAAACATGAAAGGCAGTCCTTTAGCTGGAGGCATCAGCTAAGAAAAACTATTTCCATCTGTTTTCTTTCCCATCTGAGGAAAGGGGAAAAAAGATTATCATTAAGATATTAAAAGAGAAAAGAATACAGCTACATTAAATCAGACCATCCTGTTTCCCTTTGCTGAGCTGTGCGAGAGGTGGCAGCACCTTCTCATTAGTATGAGCAGTGCTCCACTGTTACCTCTGCTGCTGCTCAGTTTGAAACAAATTAATATCTACTTATTCCCAAAGCCATTACATCTAGAAATGAAAAATCTGGCTCAAATGGACTTAATGAATATGCAATGAGACCAGATGTTACCTCTCATTATTGAGGTGAATCAGAACTTTATAGTAACTTTTCCATTGTCACTTCAGGGCAAAAGTGGAAAGCTTTGCTTTCAAAGCAGTCAGGAGCTTTCTGTTTACAGGGAAATGATAGTATGTGTCATCCTGTATTGTGCAACTACTGTACAAGGTTTAGAAGTGACCTCAAGTTAAATAGCAATGTTGTCCTTATAAATGGAAATTTGTTCATCAGTTAAAAGCATTTACCAACGTGGTGGGTATTTTGATCTTACCTGTAGCAGTGGGAGGCTGAAGCACAGGTGTGTGGATTAAGTCAGTGGCAATGACAATGACAACTTCTTTAAGAAGTCCTGGCCCTACTGATGTTATCTTGACTTGTTATTCTGTCTCCTGTTATCAGTGCAGAAGTATAGATATTTTAAAAGAGAGGATTACTTACCTCTGAAAAGCCCTATAAAGACCTCAGTATTTTTGGTGACATCCAAGGTCATGAGAGCTGTAAGTACTTGAGATGGCTGTTGTCAGACAATGAACTCAAGTAGGGGATCACATCCCAGATGAATGCTTTAATAATTGGACGATTGGTTATGATAAATAGCTGTCTGATAAATGCCATTTGTGCAAAATTAAATTTATTTTGAAGAGACTTGGAGAAAGAAACACCCTAGAATACTAAATAGCATGGTGGTTTCTGTATTTATCAGGCCACCCCCTCTGCAGTCCTTCAAACTCCAGCTATTTTTCCTGATGGCTATGTTATGCTGGATGCCTTTTGTGAAGCTACCCTGGTTTGGGTTGAGAATATCTTTGAAATCACAGTAACGTTATTTGGGGCGAGAAAATTCAATCCAGCTATAGTAAGGATTTAGGTTTTCTGTCATATTTAAAAGTTCACATTTGCAGTAGAAACTGCATCTTTGAAAACTGGCAACAGGAAAAAAAAGTCCTATGTTATTTTTTATTAATTCTTAATCTAAAAATGCAGCACAGGTTCTTCACTTTTTTTTTTTTTAAAGTGACAAGTAGTTTAAGGAAGAGTCCTTTGTTTTTGCACCAAGAATTTCAGTCATCAAATTTTGATAACATCTTTAGCAAAAATTCTTTGTCCTTTTTGAAAATTACCATTTAATGAGAGCAAAATAATTTACAGTAATTTGTTCCTTCTGGCTAGATTTTTATTTGAAAGCTTGATGTAGTCCAGAAGAAAGATAGACGAAATAGCTCTCTGAAATAGCTAATAGCTTAGGATACAAAAGAAACAGATTCACTGTTCCAGTTCAAAGCCTCCAACCCTGAGCTGTAGTCTGCCTTTTAGTCTAGTCTTTTATTCTCTTATTAGATATGTGTGTGTGTATATATCTGTATATTATATATATATAGATATAATGCCTTGTACTGATTGAAATAATTCAGGACTAAGGTCTCTTGTATGGGAGAGGGAGACTTGTGAGCAAGTTCATGCTTGGCAGGACAAGTTCTGAGATGCCATGCTGTTTTAATGTGTCTCTCATTTTCTTTCATAGCTGTTTGTCAAAGGTAGAGTTTCTTTTGACACAATGGTAATTTAAAAAAAATTACCTTGAATTGTCCATATTGTTCTTCATTCAGTTTTAGATTTCCTTTACTTGATCTTCTCTGTAAAAAAGAATGTGATATGATCAAAATATGTCCTTTTCCCTATAATATTCCTAAAAGTTCTCCTAATTTTCCTTTTTATAGGTGGGCTGGATCCTGTCCATCCTTGATGAGCTGCAACTCAGCCCTCCACCTCCTGTGGCTGTCCTTCCACTTGGCACTGGGAACGACCTTGCCCGCACCCTCAACTGGGGTGGGGTAAGGACTGGCTGGGGTACCTTTATGTGGGGTTCTCAACTCGCTGCTCGGATTTAGTTCTGTGGGGTGGAATTTCCTTTTAGCTAAAATAGCAGGCAGGGCTGTGTCCAAGATCTGTTTCGCTCTGGCAGAATGGTTTGCTTCAATTTGCAGTCTGGGATTTTGAATTACTAATGCTGTTGTTGCAATAAAAGTGTACATAGATGTATCTGGTATTTCAGGCCAAGTAATAAGAACAGTAAACAGTCTTCTAATTTAAGCATAATTTAAACTTTCTCTTTGTTTATCCTTTATTACAGCACTGGGCTTATTCCAGGAAAGGCAGATATTCTTTGAATTCCTCTCCTTATGGCCTTACTTTGCCTGCTCTAGACTTGTGCACCTCAATAGTCACTTATTAAAATGCTTGATCAAAAATGTATCGAGGGTTTCAGGCATGTGTGAAAGGAGGGAAGTCTGTAGGTAATTGGTAACTTGATTTGTTTTCATCATCTGTGGCTGATACTCTGGTCTCTGCTGTCAGGGTTACACAGATGAGCCAGTGTCCAAGATCCTGTGCCATGTAGAAGATGGAACCATTGTCCAGCTGGACCGTTGGAATCTCCAGGTTGAGCGCAACCCTGATTTGCCCCAGGATGAGCTGGAGGATGGGGCACGTAAGGTTAGAGCCTGCTGTTTCCCATGGGAGCCACAGAATGCTTATGAACCTCTTTGGGTTACACTTCAAGCAGCATGGGTGGGGAGTTCTGCAACTTTTAAATTTTCTATTTGCATCTCTCCCTTTGATTCTTTTCATGTGTCAGCAATTCCGGAGTTGTGCGAAAGGCATTTATTTGTTGTTTGAAACACCCTGGCATTGAACATTTATGTCAGAGATTAAATTCTTGAAAAAAATCCCTAGCATTTTATCAGATAGGTCATTGTTGCTTTTCTCTAGTTGCAGGAAAACTGCCATCCATTGCCCAATTAGACAAAACTAAAAAGAGGATGTAAAATTTAATTCCTTAGGATTTTGCTTATGGATACCAGCTGTTTCCTACTTTACAGCAAGGTGTAGTGTATTTTTGTATTTAACTTCTTTTTATGTGGGTCTCCATATAATCTCCACTAGTGTATCTTGGTAGTTGAAGAGTGGGAAGATTTTTGCAAGGAGATCACATAATTTATCATTTGGACTGGAGATGTTGAAAACACCACAAAACTAAAAAAACCTCCTGATTCTGTGAACTATTTTCTTCTTCTCAGTTAAAATTTCCAGCTTATCTGTTGGATGCTACAGTTGCCTCTCTACAGCCCCGCTGGGTGTGTGAAATAATGAAGAGGCCAGATGTGTGCCTGCCTGCCTCATGCATCCTCAGTAGGATTAGGGCTTCTTCTCTGGGACTTGGCTTGCTCCTGGTTATATATGGAGTGAGAAGAACACAGCTGGAGCTTCATTTGCCGTGCTGAGCTTGAAGAGCCAGCAAAACCTTTGAAAACCTTTGTGTTGGTGATATGTTAAGTGGTGCAGCCTTATGGGAAATCTAAATGACAACATAAGGAACCCTTTAATGTGCTAACACACATATGATCATAAAGCACTGTAGGTCTATTTGTGTTCTTCAGGCTCTTGTATCTGATTATTTTCCACAAGCCATTCCTAACCTTCAGAGCAACCTTCTGCTTACATTTCCCTGATATGTTCCACTTTGTTCTTAGTAGGTTTCCATGATGAGCCAAATTTAAATAGTTAAACCCTGGTGTGTTGAGAAATGTTCCATTCACGCCGTTTTAATGTCTCTTTATTATCTAATTACAGCTTCCCCTCAATGTCTTCAATAATTACTTCAGTCTTGGATTTGATGCACATGTTACACTGGAGTTCCATGAATCCAGAGGTAAAATGAACTTTTTATTTCCTTAGCCTTGTGGATGGGCAGTTATTTTATTAATAAGAAATAGAGTTGGATTTAACATCCTGTTCTTATAATTCAGAAGTAAAGCTGGAGCATAAAACATTAAGATACATACAAGAAGAAAAAGTGATTATGTCATGAGTTTCCAAGGGACTTATGATTAGAAATGAAAAAGGTATAAAGAAGACTGTAATGTACTGGCAAAAAAAAGGCTGAAAGGGAAGCTTCACAAAGTGTTAGATCTTGTAAAGGAGATAATATATGTCAGGTGTGAGTGTGGAAGTGGAGGGAAGACTGGAAGTGGCAGGAATGTAATTTTTTTCTCAAACTGAACAGCTGTTACCCATGGATCAGTATACCATAATCTGGACTTGGTACAGACCCAGAGTTCTCTGTGCAAGTTAAATTCTTGACAATTCTGTGCACATTTAACCCTTTGAGCAGCTGTAGCACCTTGTCTGTCCCCTTGCCAGCTGCAGCTATGCCACCCTGTACAGACTGACAGGTGGCTTAAGGACTGATATGAGCAGCTTTGCACTGATATGAACCGCTATATTTATATGGTTTAGGCAGGTGTGCTTGTAGAAACAAGCCTTGCTCAGGTGTCTGCCTTCAGCTTTTGGTTAATCCAGCTTCATATGCAGGTATTTTTTCTGAAACACAGCCTTCCTCATAGTCACTGTCATACTATCAGAGTGTCATTTCAAGATGAAAAGATAGCACTCTAATGCCAGGCTAAATAAAGAGCAGGATACATGATGGAATGAGCTAATGCATATTTTATGATGTTTAAGACTGCTTCAAGCTTTAGGAATAATAATGAGGGGCCACAAAAGGGCACAGGAATGAAATTATGACAGCTGTATGCATTTTTTTATGAGTGCATGTCACTCTGCATTGCTAATGTGACTGTGAATATACTGTATAGATTGAATGCATGGCTACTTTCTCATTTAATGGAGGCATTATTTAATAATGAAGTTATGGAGCCCTATAAAGGATGAATGTTATTCCAGACATGCCAGGGTTTTAAAAATTTACACGAGTGAAAAAGCACTTGGCAGAGCAAGCTGAATGTCTGGGTATGTATGGCCAGGAGAGCTTCTGTAGCACAAGTCCTCACTTCTGGTGTCATTCTTGTCTTCTCAAATGCTGAAATATATGAATTCTATGCATTTTAGAAGAGGATAGGTTATAGGAAAGCCTTGAAGGTGTTGCTGGTGTGTGGGTTGTGTTGTTTTTCATGTGGACTTGGGGTTGTTCTGCCTGGAGAAGAAAAGGTTCCTGGGAGCACTTACTATAGCTTTTCAGTACTTGAAGGGGTTTTAGAAGAAAAATGGGTCCTGTTTCAATAGGACAATGGCTCTAAGCAAAAATAGTGCAAGTTTGGACTAGATATAAGGAATAAGTTTTTAACCATGAACATGGTTAAAACACTGGCACAGGTTGCCCAGAGAGGTGGTGGGAGCCCCATCCCTGGAAACATTCGACGCTGGATTGAATGAGGCTCTGAGCAGCCAGATCTAGGTGAAGATGTCCCTGCCCATTGCAGGGGGTTGGACTAGATGGACTTTAAAGGTTCCTTCCAGCCTAAGGAATCCTGTGTCTTGGTGAATTAAGCAATGCAAAGCAGATTATGATCTTATTTACCACTGAGGATAATCCAGAGAAATTCTTAGCAATGGTAGCAAAATGTAAAGTACTTTCACAGCTATAGCACTTGTGCTCTTGAGGTAATTGACTGCTTGCATTTGCTTATGTGGAGCTATTGTAATCACATATAGATTAAAACAAATGAATATCATGCCTGAAAACCAAAATAAGCTAAATTGATATGAGCTCTCAGCCAACAGGACATTTGAAGCAGTAGATATTGGTCAGCTGTTATATTTAGAATAAGCAGTGATTGCAGTGTCTCAGAGGAACCTATATATTAATGTGGTCTTTTCCATGGCAACTTCTACACTTGTGACTTATCAGATTGAGACTTGAGGTTGGATCCAAGTCTGATGGATTTAGCTCTGCTTTTTTGGGAAATGTTCTGGGTACTGGCTATTTCCCGCTTCCTCCATTGGTATCCTTATGCTTTGGTAGAGCATGGAAGATGCAATTTACTTTATCCCTGCTGGCATGCTGTTTGATCCCTCAGCTGTGCAGGACTGTTCATTTGCAGGAAACTTCCCCACAGACACAGACAGAGTCTTACACATTCAATTTTTCTATTTTGTTGATGGTTTAGGAACAGTGAGGATGGAGTGAGCCTTGGATATGTACTCAATAATTCACTTCTAATAAACCTAAGGCTCTATTTTCCATCACACAGTCCTTCCACCCTACCTGTGCTCATTTGTGTTGGCAGAAGTAGCACCAGTAGGTTGAGGGACTGCTGAGTCCCTGACATCAGAAAGGTTCCTTTTCCTGTTCTAAACTGGGGTTTTAGTTAGGGGGGAGTGTTTGTCATAAGATCCATGTAAGGTCCAGTGCTGTGGTGTCTGCTGTCTTGAGCCATTAGGGATACTCACATGAGGGAATGTGCAGCACAGGCACTAAGCCTTCAGAAGCCTTCTGCTGCTTAGCATGGGGTGTTGAGACTCTCTGCAAAGAGCTGTGAGCTCAGTAAGTGAGATGAGATTGACTTATGCAATTAAATTCATTGTTTGAAGTAGAAGTGGCCCTGACTGAGTTTGAGTCACCTGTGACACAGCAACAGATATAGTAACTGAGCCCACAAGCAAATCAGAAACCTCAAGCAGCTCATTCTTACAAAATGGAGCTGTATTTTGTGAGATGTAGTGGCTTTCAAGAGAACTGGAAGTATTGTTTTAAGTGGTCATTTGACAGGTAATTTGGATGTGTCCATGCTAGTATGATGCTTTAGCCAGAAGGACAACCTTGGTAGTTTGCTGTTCTCACTAGAGAATCAATGAGCCAGGGTGAGTAGCTGGCACTGACACTGAATACAAGGTCAGAAGGGCTGCTTCTGGAATCTCTAGATGCCACAAACAAGGAAAGCAGTTTCCAAGGAGGCTCAAGAATGAACTATATTCTGGGAAATGTGCCTCATATAGGGAGATTAGGGAACTCCATTTAGCTTATTGGAAAGAAGGTTAAGAGGCTATTTAATCACTGCCTGTAAGTATTTACTCGAGGAGAAGGTATCTGATAGTTGAAGGCTCTTTAATCTGACAGGGAAGTATAACAAGATTTAGCAGTTGGCAGTTGAAGACTGAAAATTTCAGGATTGGAAACCACCACATTTACTTTAACAGTGAGAATAATTAACCATTAGAGGTACATTACTACTAGACTTAAAATTCTCCATCTCTTGGAGTCTAATCAAAATGAAATGGGTTTCTAAATAGGTTTTAGAGTAACCAATTCTCTTTTTCCTTTTTTTTTATTTTTCTGCAGAAATCTTTGGGTAGAAATGTTTATTCCTTAGTAACTCTATAACACATCAGAATTTAGGGGCTGTTTCATCTTTCAATTTACTAGTGCTTTACTCCTGGTTCAAAGCATGGGTTATTGTTCCATAAATTTCTAATAATTCTTACAGATTTGTTCTTCACTGTTAGAAACAGAAGTCTAAAAATTCTATTCTATCATAAGATGAATAGTCTGGGAGGTGTTAAATTAACTGATTGAGTTCTTGTTACTTCTTTGCTCTATTTTCACACTCTACAAGAAAAGGGAAGAATTCAATATCAGTGTTTGAAATCTGATATCAGAGAAAGGCACAGATGGAGGACTCACACATGGAAAACATATTTATGGTAATATTTTCTATGAGTGATAAGCTGAAAGCACTGTAGTGTTGGCAGAGAATGTGAAGGTATAATGAAGTCTGCTGGTTTTATTAGGGTGTTCATACTTTTTTTCCTCATCCTTTCACAGAAGCAAATCCAGAGAAATTCAACAGCCGATTTAGAAATAAAATGTTTTATGCCGGGGTAAGTACAGATTTGTCTTACAGAATGGTGTTAACTTAGTTGCTTGAATGTCTTCTTAATTGCCTTCCCCCTCACTTTCTCACATCAGGAGCTCTTGCCGGTTTATTCTGCTGTTACAATTTCAAGTGCAGTCATGCTGTTTCTGGCAGTGCCACACACAGGTGTCTGTAGGAAAGAGCCTGTGGTACTGTTATTATACAGAGCTGGGCAGGTGAGAGAAGTGCCACTCCTTTGGACACAGTCCTGGTCATATCTTGGTCCCTCTGCTTCTGGCTTATAAGCTTCTCAAGGCACTGCTCTGCTTCTTTCAGGGCTTGGGCACTGCATTGGTACTGACTTTGCTAGAGGAATTCTCAAAATTTTGGCCTGTAGCTTTGAGGAGCAGCCTTGGATGTAGGATGGTGGGGAGTGCAGGGCACAAATGAGATATTTGGAGTGATTAATGATGGGTGAATATGCCCATATAATTACCCACTTGTGCATTCAGGAGGCAAATAGACAACACTTCATTCTAAAGCCATTAAGAGTACACACTAGTTTGATAATGAATGGCATATAATATACTTCTAGATGATAACACCCATGTGCCCTAAATATGGAAACAAGTATGTGAGCAAGAATTTGTGCTTAATGGCTCAGGATACCATTGAACTTTGGTGTTCAAGGACTTTTTTTCAGTTAAGCTCTCAAAAGCAGAAGTATGACAATTTAAAACAATAAAATCAAATTGTGTCTTCTGAGAGAGTAAGTTTGGCCAAAGGAGAGCATATTGGCAATTAGCTCTGTGGAGGGATAAGAACTGAGGGAAAAAAAAAAGAAGAGAGGAGGTGTTGACAATTCCTGCACTGATTTCTGTTGCAGGCAGCCTTTACAGACTTTCTGCAAAGAAGCTCAAGAGATTTATCCAAGCATGTTAAAGTTGTGGTGAGTATAAGAAATTGTGTCATAGTGTTGTGGGAAGGGGGTGGAGGTGGAGGTTTGGAGAGAGAGTGAGGTGAGAGTTTAATGGCTCTGTTACTTTTCAGTTTTGAGCATGACATTTGCAACACATTCCAAGGAAAGTCTTGGGAAAGTTGTTACAAAGCAGCAACACTTCTCTTGTCTGTGGCTCCATTCAGCAATTTCTCTGTGCTCTGTCACTTTGGCTTTGTAGTGTGATGGTACAGACCTGACTCCAAAGATCCAGGAGCTGAAGTTCCAGTGTATAGTGTTTTTAAACATACCCAGGTAAGCTCAAGACAGATTCTTGAAGTTATGCAACAAAAATAACAATAGTTTTCAAGACACCTAACAGTTTTCCTAGGCTGAGTGAATGTGCAAGAAGCATTTTCTCACCTCATTGAGAGCTGGCTCCTTATAATGCTGTTAATGAGCTATGCAGAATGGCTTCAGAGTGCAGCAAAACCATTCCTTAAAAAGTTGAGTATACTGATACAGTAGAAATGCTTAACAAGCACACTTTGGAAAACTGTGTGTCTTACCTGCAAACAAGTTATTAAAGAGATAGATACCTGGTCTTTTGCTTAATTAGAGTCCAAGTGTGGAAAAGCTGGACAGGGAGAGGAGGGGACAGAAATGGAGAGAGGGGAAGGATGAATATTTTAGAAGTTAAGGAATACCAAGCTGCTGAAAGTAGTCACAGTCTAAACATGTTACAAGGTGTCCTTATTTTTATTAAGGCTGGATTATCAAAAGTTGTTGGTCTCTTGTTCTCTAGAACAGTAGTCTCCAAACTTAATTTGATTGTGCATTTCAGTCAGTAAAAAGCTTTTGAGAACCACCTCAATAAATGTATATTTATAAATTATATAAATGTTCCTCTATTCTAGTATTAAATAAAATATGTATGTTTTTAATGTTTGTTTTCTTATTGAAAGTAAAAGTAATAATTGTCTTCAAATGCTCTAATTGTCTTGTCAGTTGTGGATTTTTCTTGCATGAACTCTACTTTGGAGACCATTGCTTTAAGAAACCTCCTACTCTGCTCCACAGTCCCAAGCACTTAATCTTTTCAGTCGTGTACTGCAAGCTTCTGCTTGGTGTCACCTCTCCAAAGTTCCCCCTTCTACCTCTTTCAGATCACTTTTGTATTTATTCTCTGATGGTAGAAAAGAGAGATGTCTCAGCTGTATCTGTTCCTGCTTCTTATTTCTCCCTGCCTCCTCAAACTATGCAGCATTTTGCATTCCTTGTGCTGAGCTAGCAGGGAGAGGGGAAAGAAGGGCAAAACAGCTTTATGGCTCAACAGCTTACCAGCAGGAATCAAAGCTAATAGGGAGTGCTCCTGCTCTCTGACCTATTTCCTGGTGTCCCCCCATTTTCCTCTCAGAGAGGACCCTGATAAAATGCATGGCGGGTATATCTAAGGGTGTTGTATCAGCTTGGGAACAAAGAGAACAGCCTGAAAGGCTAAAAGTCAGGACCTCTCAGAACAAACTGCTCTCTCCAACTGGCTCTCCAAACCTGTCTCTGTAGGTATTGTGCTGGCACGATGCCCTGGGGGAACCCTGGTGACCACAGAGACTTCGAGCCGCAGCGTCACGACGATGGCTACATCGAAGTCATCGGCTTCACCATGGCCTCGCTGGTGAGTGCAGGGGGTGCTGCCAGGCTGGGAGGGCTCCCTGGGCAACTCTGAAAAATACTCCTTGTTGCTGAAAATCAGATGTGCTTCCCCATAGTCAGATGCTCTGCTATTAAATGGCAGAATCAAATACTTCTTTTCTAATAAGAGAAGTGTTATTTAATAATAAAAAGTATTACTTGCAAAATGTGGCTGATTTGCATGTGCAGTGCTCTGAAGTTAAATGGCAAGATTATTACAGTAAGAACAGTATGATAAGAGCATGAAGTCATGATTTTACTGTGGCAATGTTCTGTGATCAAATAAACACTCCCTTTTCTCTTTAACTTTTGTATATTTCATTCTATAGCATTAATGTCTATTTTTAAGTATTGCTGGTATATAAATATGAGATGTATAAACTTATATGGACATGTAGTTTCTATATGCTCACCAAAAGTCTTGTGAAACTTTAGCAATAGATGTGGAAGACTTTATTAGTATTTCTTGCGTGAATTTTATCTCTCCTTTTTACTCTGCTAGAAAAAGGAAATTCAGCCAACAATTTTGTCAGTGCACCTCCTTCCAATGCCATCTTTAAAATGAGCTAAAATTGAGATACCATAAAAGCAATCTTGCTATAAATATCCTGGTGTCCTGCTATGGCAGTGGCCAAACACTGTGACAGTGCCTTCAGGGGGTGGTTAAATGCAGACAGAGTTGGCAATTTTCCCCATGCTTGCACCAGCCTCCCTAAGGCACTGGAGCTTGGGCTTAGTGTGGTCAGCAGAAGGCCCACAGCTGGACTTGCTGGCAAGTTTTTATAGCTCACACAGCTCCATGCCTGGAGACCTTTGTTGCTGCTGTCTCATGTAAGCTAGTTTAAAAGAAAAATGGATAAGCCTGTTTTAGCTAAATTCCCTTGTTGTGTGACCTGCCCTCAGTCCACTTTCAGTAAATACCTACAATAATGGTGTTTGTTTCCTCAAAGAGAAAGTCAGGCAAATCTAATCTTCAAAGTAAGCAAAAGGCAGTCTTGGTCAATCTTTTCTTTAAAAGTTTGTCTGAGTTAAGGATACCTTCCTGGACTTTTTTTTTTTTAATGGATCTAGTGGATTAGGGAAATAAGCGGCAAGAAAAATTTTGTTTATTAGCCATCTTGTGGAATAAAAGTGAGGAGAAGTTTAGGACATGTTTTTGAAAATGCTGTCAAAACTTTAGCATGTACAAACAGACAGTTTTCAGTCAGAGGAGTTTTTTTATTTTTGCCTCTAACACAGTTCTAGTCAATGGAAGTGACTAGACAGGTCTCAGAAGCTACCAACAATTTCAGTTAGGGCTGAATTTAAGAAGTAGGGCCCTTTGAGCTTCTGTTTCTCTTTAAAGGAAGCCTGGTTGAGAACTGTGGGTCTACAGGTGTGCTTTGGTTGTGATGCTGAAGAATGATTATAACCCTCGACAGCTTTGATATAATCCTAACTTGCCTTGTATGTCTCAGATGTGCTTGTTGTACCTAAGTGAGTCTGTGAAACCAAGGGAAAGAGCTACTCTATAAACAGCATTTATAATTATTGATCATATTGTCAATTGATCCATAATATTAAGTGCACTGGCCTTGACTTGTGTTTACACTGTTCTCTGTTAGCATTGCATTAATATGAGATTTTTTTTCTGCATCTGAGAAATTAGAGTGAATTGTCACATAATAGTCATATTCATTAAAAAAATACGTTTCTGCTCAAACATGTCTGCCTAGAACTTGAAGGATCTGCTCATTGTCTTCCTTGCTTAATTTCTTTGAAATGAATTCTTTAACATGATAGTTAATTGTTTTAACAATGTCCTTCTGCTTGCTCTTTTCAGCCTGTCTAATGTTGAGGTTGACTTGATGTGTAAGCTTTCATGATAAAAAATTTAAATTTACTAATTCACATTAAGGACCATTCTGTTCAGGAAGGGGTGAAAATGCTTTCATTGTGCTCTTTCAGAATAGCTTAGGTATGGAGTACTGTGTAAAGGATGCTGCCAGCAAAGTGGCATTTTGGATTTGTTAACTGCCTCAGCTGCCTCTGTTCTGAGCTGTCTTTTCCCTGCTTGTCGGAACCCAGGGCATCTCTCTGGCTGTCCTGGATGGCTCGAGCCCCTGCCAGGGGGCTCAGAGGCTTTGGCACAGAGCTGAATTTGACCCACGGAGCAAATTGACATCTTTTTATGCAGAATTACAAGTCAAGAGAGTTTAAGCAGAATAATTGTTAGCTTGTTACAGGGTGAAAAGTAGAATTTTGAGGTTTCTAGAATGGGGGCTCGGAGTCCCAAGATGGAGGAATTTGGATGTGTTTTGTCCTTCTTTCTCCTTCTTCCTAGCCCCCATCTTCTGGGTGATGGTGGCAGTTTTGGATTGGTTTAAGGTGAATAACATAGGTGATAGGTATTGGGAAATTATTGTAAATCAAGTACACGTACTTTTTAGTATAAAAGACAACACTGACCTGCTGAACAGACCTCGGCAGGCCAGAGAAAGAATGTTATAGATAAGAAATAATAAACAACCTTGAAAACCACAGCTGAGGAATCCTGACTCCTTCTTTGACTGCCGGGCTGGGAAAAGACTTGTATGTATCTCGGGGTCCCTCTGACCAGCAGAGACTCCAAGACCTGCTTGGTGTTTTGTTTGTTTGTGTGTTTTGTTTGTTGCTTGCAGGCTGCTCTCCAGGTGGGCGGCCACGGGGAGCGGCTGCACCAGTGCCGGGAGGTGACGCTTCTGACGTACAAGTCCATCCCCATGCAAGTGGACGGCGAGCCCTGCCGGCTGGCCCCCTCCCTCATCCGCATCTCCCTGAGGAACCAGGCCAACATGGTGCAGAAGAGCAAGAGGAGAACCTCCATGCCTTTGCTGAATGAGTGAGTTGCACACGTGCATGTCCTAGAGGCAGGAAGCCCGTGTGGGGCAGTGTATTCTGTCGTGGATTTTGCATGTACTGGACTTGCAGCGCATTTGAAAAATAAATTAAAAAGAAAAATCACATCTTCTGAAGTCCCTTTTCACTCTATTGTAAATACTTACCTGACTTTCTTTTACTCTTTATCTTCTGAGTTACTCTTGTCTTGCTTTCAGACTGGTGTTCTATCTTTCTGTTATGTATTTATTTAGAGAGGTTTCTGCAGGCTTGGCAGTGTGCCCCTTGGCTTCTGATGGTTCTGCATATGTATGCCATTTGCCCTTGAAGTTTTTTTGATTTAGTTTCTCAGCTTTATTGATCTGCTTTTCAAGCTGCATTGAAGACCCCGTAAGAAATTGCCACAATCAAGAGCTAATCAGGACATATTTCAGTCTTTGCTGTGAGCACATGCTGCCTGGCAGAGTCTATGGAGAAAAATTTGAATGTCCTGAAAGAACTGTTTGTACTTTGGAAGAAATCCTTCTCCAGTATAGAAACTCAAATGAGAAATGAGTATTGTAAATGTGAATAGAGAAAAGCTAAGATTGGAGACTAGTAGCTTGCGAAGAGGAATACACAGAACTAACATTCCTTATCATGATTACACTTTCTTTACCAGTACTGCAATTATAATTTAATCAGAAGAAACCTAAATAGTAAAATTTTGACCCATGAAAGTGGCCACCCAATAAAATAATTCAGATTATTTTGTAGAGGGTATTATTGTAATCCTTGTAGAGGTCTTTATTGCTGGTAAAATGACTGTGCAAGGGACTTTGCTGTTTTTCATAAAATATTCCAAATACAAAGCAAAACAGTTGATTCCTTATCCAAAGATACTGAACTAATGCCCTAAAGTTTTTAAGGATCCACATTTAATTCAAACACTCATCCACTGAGGCTTTAATATTTCTGGGGAAATGGGTGCGGGAATTTTGCTGGTGCAATTGTAATGGTGAGGCAAATTCTGTGAAGAGATGTAATACCTTCCAAAAGACTAACTCCTATAACTGGGAAAAAAAAGGACAAGGTCTTAGGCACACCTTTTCTCTTCAGCTATCTTAAAAGTTGTGTCCCTTACAGCTGTATATCTAGAGAAAGATCCTGCTTTACTTCAAACTTTGACTCCAGCCCTTGAGAGTTTTTTGTCATCTCCTGGCTGTCAATCTAGTAATATAATCAAAGCCACCCTGGTTACTTTCAACATGTTCCTGTTCCCTTTAGCATTTTGTTCTCTTACTGAGACTAATTCTTTAAGTTGCAGTAGAAACCCATTTCTCTAATGTGCAATTTCTCTTTGCCTGGAAAATATATAAGATACAAAATACTCATCTTTCTTGAGCAGAGAATAGCAGACTCTTAACTATGGGCAGTAGTGCCCAATTTCACCCAACCACAACGCCTCAATCTTCAGTGAAAGCAAAGGGCAGCCCTGGGACATCTTTTTCTTCACTGAAGGAGACTAATGCAAATGTAAAAAGAGAATTCATGGTATTTCAAACTGATAATTAGCATGGGTTAGGTTTGGGTTTTTAGATCTGAATTTAAACTGTGGTAGGGAAATCGAGATTTGTAGTATATGCCAATTGTCAAGGGGATATTCTTTGTGGTTTAGCTTGATTTAAATGTGCCATGGTACACTCAATTGCTGTCAGAGTCCTTTGATTTGGCTGACGTATTTTTCTGCAGATCTGTGTCTTGGGAAAATGCAAATGATCTGTCAGGAACTGTAGTCTCAGCTTCACATATCAGAAACTGTGTGTGTAGATATTTACATCTATTTCTATATATATCTGTGTATGTGCTTCACTCTGAGGTGTTAAAAAGGAAGGAGAGAGCACTTATTAGCATTGTAAGAAGTTAATTCAATGTGATGCTGATTGGTAGCATTGTACAAGTGAAGAAACTTGTAATTAAATACGTTTATCTATTTTTCTTAACTTGATCTCTAGGCTATAACTCCTTGTTCTGTTGGAATCTCCCAGAGAGCCTTGTATGGGATGGACATAATAGATGAAGGGTTTTTTAACGACTATCATTTAAATGTTAGATGTGTGAGATAAGTCAGTGGGTCTGGAGCTATCCTTAATTGCTAGACAGCTCTTCTTGAGCTCCTTGCCAGGAAAGCAATTAGATAATTATCTTGGTCACAGAAATGCAGATTTATTATTATTGTCACCTTTGATATTATTGCCATATAAAAAGTGGGAGTGAGTAGAAAAAGACTTGACTTGAAGAAATTTTACACTTTCTGTATTTTTTGTCCTGATAATCTTTTTTTCCGTGTTTTTTTTTTTTTTCTCCTTGAAACACTTGTTGGCTAAATTCTCATTCCCGTTCTCCACTATTGATCACAGTAGCATGTGAAAGAGAAAACACAGCTTGGTTTTCTGTGACTGAGCCAAGAATGTGGCTGTTGAGAGCTATACCAAAAATTAGGGGGAATAAGAAGAGAAACTGTGGTTCAGCTTTTCCAGGAATAATTTTCTGATTAGAAACTCCTGCATAGTATATTCCCCAGTAAGTTTCAGTTAATGAACAGTTGCTGAATTGAAAAATGTGTTTTGCTCTCACTGACTTTTACTTTGGCTTGAGGGAGAGCACCCTGCATAATGGAAGAGAAAGAAGAGGAAAAAGCTTCTAGAAAAAACATATTTGATGCATTCAAGAAAAAGAAAGGGACCATTTGAATATAAATACTAAGGGTGAATATAAACACTGAAGGTGAATATTAATAAAATGCAAGTTTCCCTAAGGTATGAGCAAGAGGAATGGAAACAGCAACTTGTCATTGTAGATACAAAATCTCCAGTAAGGGTATTTTTTCCTTAAACAGTAATTAGTTGGTCAACTCTTGGAGACAATTCCATCCATCTGGATCTCAGCTTTGATGTTTGTTTGCGTTTCTCGATCTGCTTCCAAAGTCTGTTGCTTTGAAATTTTTCAGTGCCTGTGGAAGAAGTTCTGGGATCCCTTGTCTTGTATAGTTATGTGCTGGGCTTTTCACTGCTCCTCACTTGTGTCTTTAGAAAGCTGCTGTGTGCCACATAGCAGTGATTTTCTCCATTTGCATGTCTTCAGTTGCTCTTGGCTTCCTAGTGTGGGCTCAGAGCTCTGCATGGCCCTTCATTCAACGTTTATGTGACACATTCCTTTTGTTTCTGTTTAAATGTTGTGTGTCTTTCTCTTTCTTTCTTCTCTTCCACTCTTCTCTCTGTCTCACCTTTTTTTCCTGTCTGTCCTCACTGTGTGCTGTTTTTCTCCTGGCCACTCATTTCCTGCTGCCTTATAGTATCCATAAAGTGCAGTCTGCTGACCTGAGGAGAGTCTCGGCTCCCCCTGATTCCTTCACTGTGTGAGTATCTGGCTTTTTTCTATTCTAAAAGTTCCAGAGCCTTTTGTTATTACCCTGTGTCATTCAGCTGAGAGATGGGGCAGTAAAATCCAGTGACAAATGGGAAGAGGGAGCTCAGATGACAGTATGACTGATGGGGCACAGTTCCACAGTAGCCAAGTAAGGTGAGCAGGACATGTCTGGTGATGGGTGACCAGGTTCAGCCATCAGCCAGCTCCCCAAACATCCATGGCAACAGGCACATCTGAGGTTTAATGCCAGGCATCATTCCTGGAAAGAATTGAGACGAGGTATTTTCAATCGAACACAGGAGGATTCCTCTGAACATGAGGAGAAAATGCTTTTTATCATAAGGTTGACAGAGCACTGGCACAGGTTGCCAAGAAAGGTTGTAGAATCTTCACTTTTAGTCATAATCAAACCCTGCCTGGACATGGTCCTGGACAGCCTGCTCTAGGTGGTCCTGCTTGAGCAGGGGCTTGCACCAGATGTCCTCCAGAGATCTCTTTCAGCTTCAACCATTCAGTGATTCTATGAAATTGCAGAAAGCTCCAAGTGCTTCATTACTATTTTGGAGAAAGGAAAGATTTTCAGTTTGGTGTGCCTTTTCTGTGGGTCCAGTTTGCTGTGTTCTGCTGACAAGCATAAAGTAATGAAACCAACTTGCCTCACCAATTCAGCATCTGAATCAGTCTCTAGAAAAAATTGAGGTAACCCTTATTTCTTACACAGAACTTTGAGCCGTGTGTCTAAGAGAACGAGTACTATTTCCAAGCTCAGGGATATCCCTTGGAAAATGAACTCCAAGTTTTGATGCAGTTCATTTTAATGTCCCATTTGATATCAGCTGTCAGAGTAAAGCAGGGAGAGAAAGACATGCAAGCCCCAAACTAATTTGAAAGTCAAAATTGTTCTCTATCTTAAAATCTGTAAAAATAGATTGAACATGCTGCTGCACTGGGGCTGCCAATTAATGTGTCTGGCAAATTAAAATAGGAACCCATGAGGTAACACAGAAATATGATTTGGATTATGATGGCTTTGAGATTCAAATATTGTTTTGTGTTTTTTTGTTGAACAACACAGAAGATGACTGAGTTCCAGTTAGTACTGAACAGCAGGGCAGATCCTACTGAGACCTGGTGATGGATTATAGCCTGTCTTAGATAAATGTCGGGATTTCTGCAGCAGGAGATGCATGGGAGTTTAGGGCAGCCAATTCATTAGGCTCATGTGGTCTTTTTTTGCAGAGACAGTAGAACTGTAGTGTGATCCATTGCAAATGCTTATACAAGGTGTGTAAGTAAATACAAGCATTGTATTTTTGAAGGTCTTTTAAAAGGAAGGTGAAAACTTGCATTTTCCTGCTGGGTGTTCAGAGATGAGAAGATGCATACGTGAGAGTACATTTGTCTTGTGTGGTTGATGCTGAAAATTACCATTGAAAAATGAGATATTTACTTGTGTAGCCCCTACATTTCTTCTACAAGTGGAATAAACACTGTGGGTAGGGTAATTCTTTTTTTCAGTTACAAAATCTGCATAAATAAAAATACAAATACCACTGTATTGGTAAATACTACTCCTTTATGGAGTTTGTGGTAATG